TATTCCCTTTAAATACTCTAAATTAAAAAACATTTCCACCCTCAATTGATGCAGAAAAGGCAGAAATTGGTGTAGAGTTTACAGTACAGGCTACTGGCTTTAAAATGAGCATCTACAACTGCTCCTGTCTTTTCCACCTTTGTCTGCAAACGAATAGATCATACTCAACAGTCAGATAGCCACACAAGTCTAGCCTAAAATCTTACATCCACATTAAATGTAGTATTGCTCGGAAATATCAGCCAGCATGCAGCGGTGTGTTTACAGTGAACAGCTGATGGATTCACGCTAAATACTGGGTTCAAAGTTGTTGTTTTAAGTTTTCATCAGTCAGGAAATTTTCACACAGAGATGAAGTCGGTCTCCTCTTCTCCAAAACAAGTGAACAGCTGATTACAGCAGGTAATAAAGCTCCTTAAAAATCCTGTTCCTCCGACGCCCAGGCGACGCATACGTGAGTGCTGCAACTGATCTGCAGCTCTTGTCGGCTGGAAATGTTTTAATGACCTACTAAACTGTCGTGATTTTATTTTTGTGTTGTTTTCTCTGTGCTGAAGTTATTTTAAGAACTGGATGGCTTTATCCAGTTTGTTATTAAATTGATAACAAACTTTATCGTGCGTCTGTCTATTATACTCCCACATAGAAAAAACTGTAGCCTGTAGTTTTTCATTATATTCCAATCAAATCTGATGTTCATTTATAATTTTTGGTCATGTAAAGTGGTTACTAAATAATGCTGGCTGTGCATCGCTTTGTACGGCGTATAGGCCTACAGCCTACGTCAGCTGGTTAATTTCCTTAATCTTTGCAGGTCTTTCGACCATGGTGGAAACGCACACAACAATGGACTGAAGGAACCTTTTACAGTAGTTCCTTGAAAAGAGATCTGGGGACTTAAAAGTCGCGGTTACTTTTGGTGGAAGTATGGCGAGAGACAGCCTATTTTTTAATCCTGTTTGAACTGTGCCCTGGATTAAACTTACATTACATGTTGTTTTGTGTGAAAACCGTTCAATGAACTACGTGGTAATGCTAGCTAACCTTCATTGCTTGGTTGCTGCTACCTAGAGAACTTCGCTATGTTCCACACAGAAATATATCTCACCTGATGTGTTTAATCCTACGACTCTCAGTCCTTTTATCACATCATCCTCTCATGTAAGTTCTTTGATTTTAGCTTCAGTAACGTTAGCTTCAGTCTTGAGAGAAAAAGTTCAGACGTCACATAAGCGACTTTTGGGTTTGTAGTCTTTGTAATTATGTATTTTCACAGTCTTATACATCAACAGTTTTACATCAAACTGCGACTTTCTTGACTTTTAAATGTATCTTAAATTGACCATCATCATATGTGTAATTCAGAGCACATTTTGTTGTCCCTTGCCATTGATACCCTACATATCTTTGCCGAAGTAAGGTCCCATGGTGGTCCGCCGGAAAATGCCAGAGGTATTGGCATATAGCAGAGGTTTGCAAAGGGAAGTAGAGGTGCCCCAAATGCAAAGGTGAGCATAGAGTGAAAGAATCTAAGGAAAATGTGCAGGATAAATGATGTTATTATGGTGGTCAAAACAGGGTAACATATGGTGGACGTAAAGTCAAGAAGAGGGCTGTGGAAATTGCAAGTTAAAACAGTTAACAACATAAGTTAGACTAGAGAAGGAAATATCATAGTTGTTAAAACTTTTGTTCATGTAGTAGGTTGTCATTAGAGCAACTGGATAAACTGGTGATACAGTTTGTAGGGAAGGTGATCTGCTGTGGGGATTTTAATGCCCATAGCACATTATGGGGTAACTGTAATGATACCGATGGAATGGTAATTGAGGAGTTAATGGAGACAAAAAATTTAGTGTGCTTAAACAACAGAAGTGGTACAAGAATTAATATCAGAACTGGCACAGAGTCAGCAATAGATTTTACATTAGTGTCAGATTCATTGGCAGCCATCTGCATATGGGAAGTAGTTAGATGAACAATTGTAGGAAGTGACCATTATCCTATTGTAATAGTAGTAGGCTTGAGTCTAGATGAATATGAAACAGGAGGATTTCAGAAATGGTCATTCAGCAGTTTTGAATGGGATACATTTAAGAATATTAGTGATCAAGAAATGGAAAAAAAATTATAGAAATAAAGATGTTGATAATTCATTTTGTAAAGTTGTTCTAGAGGCTGCAGAGAAGTCAATAAAAAAGAAGGCAGGTAAGCGCAAAAATGAGATTGTAACATGGTGGACAAAAGAACGTGAAATAACAATTACATTTAAAAATAAAGCTTTTAAAGTGTTAAAAAGGAATCGCTGTTTTCAGAATTTTATTGAATAAAAACAAGCAAATGTAAGAAAGAATATTGGAGAAAACTGTGTTGCTCAGTAGGAAGGGAGACAGAAATTGGTAAAGTTTGGGGGATGATAAAAAGAATGATGGGATCAAAAGAGAGTATGGGTACCCAGCCTTAAATGATGGAGAAACAACAGCAGTGAGAGATGAGGAGAAAATAGAGATGTTGGCTAAAACTTCTGTAACAATTCATAGTTCAAGTAATATTTGTGAAGAGGGAAAAAGAGGGAGGTAAACTACAGTAAGGGAGAGTGAATTAATTAGATCAGTATTAGATTATGGTTGTGTGGTGTATGGATCTGCATCAAGCACATCCCTCTTAAAGTTAGACAACATTCAGTTTTAGGCTTTGAGATTATGCACAGAGGCATTTAAAACAACATGCAGAAAGGAACAGGAGAGAAGAGACAATTATATCAAGACTAAGATTTGGGCACACTAGATTAACTAGCACTTTATTCAAAATAGGTAAACAACACAGGCAGGTGTGAATACTGTGGGCAACAAGAGACAGTCAAACTCGTCATGGTACAATGTCAGAAGTATATGGGGAAAAGAAGGAAATGATCCTAAACCTTAGAAGGGAAATAATAATTTTAATAGAAATTCTTACAAAGAACTCAAGAGATAAGTGCAATGGAATAGTTTTTCATTATCTTAGAGTAATCAATATGATCAATATGTTTTGTTCTGGTTTTATTGTGTTTCGTCTAATGTAAGTAGTAGTCATTCTGATCCACACTCCATAAAGCTCAAGTAAATAAGAGACAATGGTTGCAGTATTTTTTGATGTGGAAAAGGCATATGATATGTTATGGAAGGAAGGGTTGCTAATTAAACTAAATGGGTGTTGGAGGGAGAATGTTTAATAGGATTATGGACTTTTTAAATGAAAGCACTATTCGGGTGAAGATAGAAGCAGAATTATCTAGTCAATATGTTGTAGAGTACGGGACACCTCAGGGGAGTGTAATAAGTCCAACTTTATTTTCCATTATGATAAATGATGTACTCGTAAACATTCCAACGGATATTAGGAGATCATTGTTTGCAGATGACAGAGCATTGTGGAAAAGAAGGAGAAATGTGGAATATTTAGTTATATATATATAATATATATAGATATTTAGTTAAGAAAATGCAAGATGGAATTAATCAAGTCGAAAAGTGGGAGGATTTATGTTTTCAGTGGAAAAAACAAAAGTTATGTTCTTCATAAGAAAGTCAGGAAAGGGTATTTGAAATTGTATGGGAATTGTATGAGAGTTGAAAGTTTTTCGTAAGTGTATTTTGATGTGAGATTAACGCAGAGGGAACATATTAGATATGGAGTTGATTAAGTGTAAAAAAAGTTATAAATGTCATGATGTGTCCCCCAGGATTGGGGTGGGGAGCAGCCAAATCTGTTATACAAGACAGGCTTTAAGAGGGTGCTTAGGACCTCCCCAGTATGTGCTCTCCAAATTGAAGCCGGTGAAATGCTACTGTGGTTGCTGTGTCAATCTAAGGGCATCGAGATTGCCATGCAGCAAAAAGGGTGCTACAGACATGCTGGGAGAAGGAGACAGACAGACAAGAGATCAAATGGCAAAGGACGCAGAAGTATATGATAAAGAGTTTGGCGCCAATATGGTGTGGCCTATCAGACCTTTCTGGGAATTAGAAACGTGTAGATTTGGAACTACTTGAGATTAAACACAATAATAAGACTGCTGATTTAACTAGTATATATTATAGCTATAGTGAAAGTAAGTATAAGGAAAGAATTCAGATTTTCACAGATGGGTCAAAGGATAGAGCAACAGGTTCTCCTAGGTATCAAGTGGAACTTAATTAAAGAACATTTGATTGACTCAGTGACTACAGTTGAACTGTTCGCCATATTGATGGCGTTGGAATGGACAGAACAAAGTAGCAGAAAAATGTCGGGGAGGGGAAAAATGTCATATTCACGTGGGTCCCTGCACACTCAGGGATTCAGGGAAATGAGAAAGCAGACAAGTTGGCAAAAGAAGCAGTTAAAAAAGGAGATGTTGAAGTCAACATTAAATTATCAAAACCAGAGGGGAAAGGAATAGTGTGGAGAAGTGTAAATCAACAATGGCAACAGAGCTGGGATAATGCAACAAAAGGGAGACATTTACATGCAATCCAAAGCAGAGTAGGCATATCAAGAAGTAGGGGAGCAAAGCGGAAAGAGCAGGTGATAATAAGTAGGCTGAGAATTGGGCATAGTAATCTTAACAGCACACTTTTAATTACAGGAAAACATCCTACAGGAATGTGTGAACAATGTCAGGAGGTGGAAACAGTAGAACATATTCTTACAACATGCAGGAAATTTACTCAGGAGAGACAAAAAATGATAACTCAATTACAAAAAAATCAGACGGGTGGATACAGTACAGTAAAAAGTTTATTGGAGTATGGAGAGCGTGTGGAAGGTAGGAAATGATATTTGTTTTTCTGAGGGCGACTGGCATGAATGAGAGCTGAGGGTAAATAAAACCTGAGGGTGGTAGTAATGCAACTCAAGGGATGCCAGCTGCCGTAACAACCCAAAGAAGAAGAAAAATAATCTACACTCCATACCAGTTAGTGGCAGTAATGCACCATTTCGCTGTGTGCCAACCGCCGATAAAATTCCATAAAGAAGAAGAAGAAGCAGATGACGGAGGCAGACAACGCAGGTCAGAAGTTGAGTGGTGTATAACCATAACTCAAAGGAGGGGTCTCTGTCGTGATAATAACATTTCCTCCAGTGACCTGCGCTCAAAAGACGAAGAGCTGTAATCTAAACGAATGAAGCTAAGGTAACGGTAGTATGAAAAACCTCAGAAGTATAAACTAACTGACGCTGGTTTAGAAGCGTCTGTAACATTGTTTTGAGGGCCTGTTGCTAGCTACGGGAAATCCTCGGGCTAGCCCGGCATACACCGGGCCGAGAGAGGACCAGGACAGGAGCTTCGTCGGCTAGTTTGAACGATCAGGTTTTACAGACTCTAGCTGCCCTATTTTATCATCAAACGAAGACGTAACCTCATCCGTAGCTTTATAAATAAGCGTGACGTTAACACGACAAGCTTGAGTTTGACAGCTAGCTAACATTAGCCATCCCGTGTTTACAAGCTATCCCAGCCAAGATCCTCTGAAGAAGTTGGCACTTCGGTATATTTGTGTCAGTTAGGATTTGCATATTTGTCTCGTACAACCTGCCTGCTAGCTAGTGGTGGTTTGTAAGCTTGTTCTACTTATATGTACGCCGACTGAAGGTCGCCAGCTAGGCAGCTAGATCAGAAGGTCTCCTAGCTAAGGTTATTACATCTTCAGGCTTATCTCAACATTACTGCAGCCCAAAGTTTGTTAACGTTACCTGGTTTTAACAGAAGGGATACTGTTTCAGAGTAAATTACCAAAGCTATCTTTAACCATTTGAAAGACAGTATCTCGGATGAAGGCTCACATAGAAGTGTGGATTTTGATGCTGTCAGGACATACAGGTGTCACCTGGTCTGGTTGGCATTAATAATCTCACACCAGCATCCAATATCTGCTACACCAGAAGCAACTGATCTGCTGTTTCTCTCTCTTGAGCTGATTTGCTCAAGAAGGATCACCTTCAAGTCCACAATGAATCGTTACCTGCCGGTGGCACGACAGCACTTCCTGGCTGCCCTTGCCAACACCAGTGTGGTGGTAAAAACTGTAAGTGCTGTGGTGGTTCTCCTCTATCTGTTGTCATGGGCCGTCAACACTCCATACGCACTGGGAGTGACCCCAGGCTACCTCTTTCCACCCAACTTCTGGGTGTGGACACTTGTGACCCATGGGGTGGTGGAGCAGCACGTTTGGGGTGTGGCGGCCAATGTGGGAACAGTTATGGCTTGTGGGCACCTGCTGGAGCCTCTGTGGGGCGCACTGGAGCTCCTGATCTTTTTCGCAGTGGTCAATATCTCTGCAGGCCTCCTGGCAGGCATCTCCTACTTCCTCACCTATGTTGCCACCTTTGACCTGGACTTCTTGTTTGCTGTGCGTGTCCACGGAGCAGCCGGATTCCTGGGAGGTGTCCTGGTGGCACTGAAGCAGACCATGGGGGATAGTACAGTGCTCAGAGTACCACAGGTGAGGCTAACAACTAACAAAAGTAAATGTTGCTGTACATTGATGCTGTTTGGCAGTTGATCTATTAACCCTGTAAATAATACTAGACCAGTAAGGAGTGGGACTGCACAGTTAAATTGAGAATGTAGCTAAACAAGAATCTAAACAGCACTGGAAAACTAACCACTAGTCCCTGAGATGTATACATAAAAAAGCCTTTTTCAGACAAGTTTGAGTTAGGAGGTGGTTGGGGTGGACGGGTGGGCCAGAAAGAGGACTCACCCAGGACACCAGTGTTCCTTTCCCTTGTAAAACAAGTAGACAACATTGTTTTTTTAGTTAAGTTACTTAGGTTTTGTAAGCTAAGTGAGTTAACTTACCTAAGTAAAGTATACGTGTGTGTCTGTGTGTGTGTATGTGTATTAGGGCTGTCCCCGATATATTAGGATTATCTCAGCAAAGGACAAGTGCTCACTAACACAGATTGTGACAGGTTGTGAATAATATTTGAGAGAAATGGACCTTTTGTGTACATAGAGAAAGTCTTTGATCGTTGAGTTCAACTCATGATGAATGGGAGCCTAAACAAAAGTGTTTATAAGTGTGTTTATAATTTTGTTCTGTGTGTGTGTGTGTATGTGTGTGTGTTTGCTCGCTCAACTTGGCCTGTGTTCTCTGGTTTAGGCATGTGATTGTCTTCTCAGCTTTTTTTGAATGTTTGAGTTTGTATAAAACTGGGTTACTTCAGTCTAAGCTTAGTAAGCTAGGAAAAGAAGTCTCTCAGTATTCTTGTACACTTTGACTATGACTCCTGACTGCCAGCCTTGCATGTAAACAGATGTTGTTCAGTCTTTCAATTCCATAAATCTAGCTGATTTAAGAATTGTGGGGATTGGCAGCCACAGTGGTCTGTAGACAAAATGGTAGCTGTCCCTTTGCCTAAAGATTGTTTGTTCACAAGACCTTAAATCTGTTTCCCCATCTCAGGTGAGGCTCAAAGCAGCACCTGCATTGGTCCTCCTCCTCCTGGCCTTACTCCGCCTATCTGGGCTGTTGAACAGCTCTGCCCCACTGGCTGCATACAGCTATGGCGCCCTGTCCGGTTGGGTCTATCTGCGCTTTTACCAGAGGCACAGCCGGGGCCGCGGGGACATGTCGGACCACTTTGCATTTGCTAGTTTCTTCCCCGAGGCGCTCCAGCCAGCTGTGGGACTGCTGGCGGGGCTGGTCCACTCCGCCCTGGTGAAGATGAAGGTGTGCAGGAAAATGGTGAAGAGATATGACGTGGGAGCACCCTCCTCCATCACTATCAGCCTGCCAGGGACAGACCCACAAGATGCAGAGAGGAGGAGGTGAGTTAGAGCAAAGAAGAATGAGTTTATCATACATCTGCATGCAAACATGTTTACATACTGATCCCCGTGCAAAGATCTGATATATTGGCGTGCCTTTCATTAAATATCTGATAGTAGCCAATTAGTTTTATAGAGTAAGTAAACAAAAATATACATGAAATATTTAACCTATATTAAAATAAAATGGACATCTTTGAGAATGCTCAAACAGAGCTGTGCAAACAACAATAAAAATGTAAAGAGAACAAAAATAATAAGCCGACAAATTCCTCCATCTCAGCAGAGCATGGAAGGAGGACAAGGACAGAGTCTCTCTCCAGTATAGGGCCCCCGCTGACACTCGGAACACCCTGATCCAAACCTCTTTCAGTTCTTGATGTTTAAAATTAAAATATCAAATATTAAAGCAGTAGAAATATAAACACCCATAGATTAATAGAAATGGAAATTAATTAAAGAAACATTTCTAATTGGTCTGTGTTGCACTGCATCACCTGCCATCAGTGCATCAATTAAATCAGAGGTCACTAATAGACGGACCGCGGTCCGGATCCGGACCCAGCCGCCGTCCTCTCCGGACCGCCGACCTACAGCCCATTTATTATTGAGACTTACTACCTCGTGACGGAGAGTTTCTATTTTAACCCACGCAGCTTTTCTAGCATTTACTGTACTGGTTCAGAGGACCAGGAAACTCACAGACCAATCGCATGTGCTCCAATCGTCTCATGTGACGCTGCTCGGCCAATCAAATCTGTGCATACCGATGCTTGCGAGTCGAGTCCGCGAGATTCACCAGAGACGTTTTGGAAACACACCCGAATTGAGGAGACGAAGGATAAAAGAGATTTCACATGACTTTTAATCAAGAATGTACAGATTTTTACATGTACATTCCTCCCACGGGCAGTTCAAAACCAGAATATCTCATAGATCTCCAATATGCTAGCTGGAGCTCACGTTTCTCACTGAACAACAGAAAGTAGGAAAATGAAAGAGAAGAGGAGGCGTTACAGCTGTTCATTTGTTATGATGTGTTGAGTGTTTATTATAAAATTGGTTAAGACTACACTTCATCACTTCAAGCTACACTTTTTATTACATTTTTTCTAAAAATTAGGCACTTTAGTTTACTTAAATTTAGAATTTATTATTTGAATAGTTATTATTTATTATACCTCCAGTTTGATGTGAAAACTGACTGAAATATTATTTGATTTGACAGTCCGTTGTTGACTAAAAACATGTGTTGATACAGCTATAGGTTATAGTACTGAATGATAACGCAAGTTCGTCGTTTTGATGTTCCGGACCTTTGCTTCAGGAAATTTTCTCTAACTAGACCTCTTTGAAATCTAATTGAATACCCCTGAATTAAATCATAGAAATCTGAGCACCTATCTTTTGTAACTGTGTGTACTCTATTTGCCTTTAGTTATGCCTTCAGCAGTATGATTGCCTTTGCACCTCCTGAAATGTAGGCAGCATCTATAAAAAAGTAAACAGAAACACACAAACTACCATCACAACAGGCCTACCTTGTGTGAAAATACAGCTACACAATAAATGAATGTGTATATAGAATACATAACCCATATTAAACATAAATAGGTATATTTCTGAGAATGCGGCTACTCAGAGGTGCACTATAAATTAAAGAAACAAAAATAATAGGCTTACATGCTCTGAAAAAGTAGTTAAGTATTGTACTGAGGTAGACAGTTATTTACCTAAAGCATTTCCTCCTATGCAGCCATGTAAATCTCTTACAGGTTTAGTGCAAGGAAAACTTGCCTATCAACAGCCTCAGGCTTCAGGGAAGCCATGTGGCAGGTTACAATGAAATCACTGCAACTGAAAACCCTTTCAGAAGGGAAACTGGTGGCAAAAGATACTTCCTTGCCAGGACTTTTTGTCAGAGGATAGGACTTTTGTGAGCGCTCCCTCCTGGTCTGGGAACCTCTAAATCATTTGCTGCCTTGATCCCCGGCGTGTGGCTGACTCGTTGATGAGCTGAAGAGCCGGCAGACCCAGCTGAATCTGAACTTCAGCAAGCTCTCTTTTTCTTCTCCAGCTGTAGGAGAAGCTGCTGACAATTCTCTTACACAGAGAAATGGCCCCCGGGTGATGCGGTTGTCATCCATGCTTTGTCCTGTCAGAATAAGAATCCGCTTTAATGGCCCAGTGTGCTTACGCATCCAAGAAATTTTACTGGTTTACGAAAGCTTCTTGTGCTTGCATAGTTCAGGATAACATATCATAACATGCTCAGGAAGCAGAGACGTATTTCATGTAGGTCAAAATACAAAATAAAAAAAGTTAAAGGAGTAGTAGGCTGAATGACTACCACCCTGTGGCACTCACCCCCATTCTGATGCAGTGCTTTGAGAAACTGGTTCTTCAGCACATGGAAAAACAACATGCAGCCAGCCTGGACCCTCACCAGTTTGCTTTCAGAACCAACAGATCCACAGAGGATGCCATCTCCACTGCCCTCCACTCAGCCCTCACACACCTTGAGAAAAACAACACCTACCACAGAATGATGTTTGTGCGGTTTGACAGCCTTAATACAACCTTAAGATGTATAATGCAACTGTGAAACTGTCTGCTTCTTTCTGAGATCGTCTTTCTCAACAAATCTGACAATATTTCTCCGGGGAGTGCAGTAACACACAGTGGCAGCGCTGACAGTTTGTTGGACTTAGCATTAGTGTCTAAGGGGGGGCGTGGCTTAGCGAAGGGTCAATTGCAGCTTGAGTCAGGGAGATGTTGAATATGTCCATGAAGACATGAGACAGTCGGACTGCTCACTCCTTAAGCAAGTAGCCCGGTATCATGTCTGGACCAGCAGTTTCTGCGGGTGGATTTTCCTCAGCACCTGGTGGACATCTGCTGGATCCAGTGTAAGCACCTGGTCTCCTTCCTGTGGGGTTGGTTTTCCTCGCTAGTGTGGTGTTCTGTGCTTCAAACCTACCAAAATAATTGTTGAGGTTGTTGAGGAAATCCATGCTGTTGTCACAGGACTGGAGAGCAGTCCCATAGTCCGTGACAGCCTGGATTCCCTGCCACAGTATCCTGGTGTCTCTGTGGTTGTTAAAGTGACCCTGGATTGTATTGTCCATGTGCCCTCATTGCCAGTCTGATTGCTTTGTTCAGATTGGCTCTTGCAGACCTGAGAGTAGTTACGTCCCCAGATTTGAAAACAGAGTTCTGGGCTTTAAGCAGGGCTTGGACCTCAGGCGTCATCCTTGGTATCTGTTTCGCCAGGGCTGTGACGTTTTTTGGGACACAGACACGTTCCCTGCACTTGAGTATGTATCCTGATACGACATCGGCATACTCCTCGATGTCTGTAGTAAGGCCTTTGGTAGCAGCATCATTTATTTCAAGGTACTTGTAACAAGCAGTAATTAACAGTTAATAAGACACCTATAAGACCTTTTATAGGATAGCTTAATTAACATTTATTATTGCTTATAAGAAAATTATAGGCTCTTATTAGAAACTTGTTAACAAGTTAAATATACGTCATGAACGTTAATAAAATGTTTATTAACATTAATGAGACTTAGTTAGTAATATCCTAAACACATTTATTATTGCTTGTAAGATATTTATGAGCAGTTATTAGAAACGTTTATAGACGACTTATCAATGTTAATAGGATGATTAATGACATTAATCAGACTGTAAGAGGTTTATATTACTGCCTTATACAGGTTAATATATCCTTATTTATGCACTTATTAACCATTAACAATGCATCTTTGCAGCTTCCTGAACTAAAGTGGGAACAGTGCCTTAAGATGAGTAAATGTTCATAAAAATAAGTAATAAAAGGAGGATGTGTAACATTTTTTGTGGAAAATGAAAATTTTTTACATTTCATGACTTTCAAGTTTCATAACTTTCAAATAAATGCAGCAACAAAAAACATCAACTGTAAACATTTTGTATGACAACAAGTTCTTTTTCAATTAAAAAAGGACATTGTACAGATTTCTTTTCAATACAAGTTTGCTTTTCAGTCCTTCGCTTTCAACAATGTCTGTATGGCTTTATGGTCAGTAAGCTGACTTTGAGATCGGGGACTTGGGGATCATTTTTTGATTCCCATCCTCCAGCTCCAGGAAGATCTTCTGCAAAACATTAAAATGTGTACTTCAGTGTCTTTGGATAGCTTAGTTCCAATCCTTAAATATAGCCCATTCGGTAGGTGAAAGCCTGTACTACAATGGGAATACCAAAAGGGACCATTGCTCCAGCTTGCTGCTTAAGACTTCCCGCCCTGATTTTTCTTGACCACAAAGATGTTGAGAACAAATGAAGGGAGGGCCTCTTGGATGGCTGAAGCATTGTCATCATCTGTAAAATATAGCAGAGAGAAAAAAACCTAAATTTTTTTCGCAAATAGATCGTTGCTCTCCCTCTGAACAGAAATCTGGGTGTGCTCACGTAGTTGCTGCGGTGTTTTGATTTAAGTCAAGAAATGTGTGTGCGCTTCAGAAATACATTTATGAACCTTAATGGTTTTTTTACGAAACAATAAGTATCTTGTGTGAATTAAAATATTTATGTGGAAAGAGTCATGTAAATATAAATCAAGAAATACATTTGCGATTCCTTCAGTGTGCAGTCATAAAAAGTGAGAGGGCAGAAAACAGACTTCTTTACCTGGTAGTCCTTGATTAACTCCTCTGTCTTTCATCAAGGTAGAGAATGAGGCTTCTGATCACAGCTTCTATTAGGGTCTCAATGCTGCTGTCCTAAAGATATATGAAATACAAGATTAAGTAAGTACACATATCAGAATGCTACAACATGGCGATGCACCAAATATAGGGGAACCATATCTCTGGTATGTGCACATTAACATTACCTTATCAATTAACATTTAGATAATCAATTTTTTTTTCATCTGTTAATTTAAAAAAGTAAAACCAGCTTTAATAGTTGAGCATATTTACAGTAAAAACCTTGTCAGTGAGCTATGAGGGCAAAAGTCAAAAACAAAATCGTTCATTAATCTTAATCGAGGTAAATTGTTCAATTAATCGTGATTATGATTTTAGACCAAATTGTCCAGCCCTATATGTGTGTGTCTCCTTTTTTCCTAAAATCAACAATGAGCTCCTTGGTTTTGCTGACGTTATTTTGTCACTTTGTCTGCTTTTACTACAGATAACAGCTCTCTGTGAGCCGGCTTTGTTCCGTTATCTGCACGGCTACATAATCCTGCATAGAGCATTTTAGGAGAACGTTTTGCCTGCCTGATTTTGCTGACTTGTTCAGATTCTGTTGATTCTGTTGAAAGGTCTTAAAATAAAATCAGAAATATTAATGTCTTAAATTTACTGTAAATTTTCTGTAGGTTTAAAATTTGCTGATGGTGCGTTTAAGTCTGGTGGGAAAATTGTCACCCACAGAGGTCTAACGTAAAACGACTAATTGGCATGTATTTGTGTGATTTAACTTAATATTGACAATGCGAAACCCTGCCATTAGTAAAACTTCTATGTTACGTTTTTGTTAGCTGCAGACGTTGATCTTGCCGCATGTCATTTTTCATTAAAGTCAGTCGTGGCTGCAAGATTGGGAGTTTAAAGTTGTTGGAGGAAGATCCGGTTGTTCTGTCTAGCTCAAACAATAGTTGTTGTAAAATGTACAATTACATGAGATGTGTTCATTTTTGTATGGGTGGCTCACAGTGGGTGTGATTAGCCTTGTTAAAGACCACTTAATAGTACTAGTAAAAGGGATAAAGTATGGCAGTTATTAATCCTAGCAAATTCAACTCTTTACTTTGAATGTGTAAAGTATATGTAAAGTTTGTTCCAGATTTGTTAGTAGGCTTTTGCCTGCTAATAAATCTAGACTTGTAGGCTGCTGTGTTACTGGTGTTCAGGAAAATCATTGGTGTTCAGACAGCAATACAATATAATTCATAAGAAAAAGGGGGTATAAGTTTATAAATTAATGGTAATGGTACATTTTTATTTATTGAGCACTTACCAAGCATAGAGCACAAAAGGCTTTCCAAAAGAAACAAATAAAATGATGGAATGCTATAAAAAATTAAATAACAATATTAAAACAGAGCATTAAAACAAGCAAGAAAAAACAAACAGTAAGACAAGATAGTAGGGAAAGTAGTGACATTAAAACATCTAAAGGTTCCATATACTGAAATGCATTTGAAACATAGATGCCTTTATTTAAAGTACGATATAGAGGAATTTAAATTGATAAAGACATTATTTGCCTACCAAGCCAACCAGTCTGCTGAGGATACAGTCTGCATAGCACTCTCCCCTTGGCTCTTCTCTCTTTACACCGCCCACTTTACATCCACACACACACACAGGTGAGAACAATAAAGTATGTGGATTACACAACCATGTCAAACAATGATAAAACCCAGTACCGCAATGAGGTGGACCAAGCTGTTGCTTGGTGTTGAAGCAATGACCTCCAAACACAGCCAAAACCCAGGAACTCATTACTGACTTCAGACGCAGGCCATTAACCAAAACACCAATACAAATGAACGGCAATCTAATCACCGCCACTGACTCTTCTAAATTTCTAGGAACACACCATACCAATAAACTGAAGTGGACAACTAACACTGAACACATCACTGCAAAAGCTCAACAAAGACTTTTCAGACAGCTTAATAAATACCGGATCAAGCATCAACTCCTTGTTCTGTTCTGCTACGCTATCATCGAGTCCGTTATCACGTCATCGATTACAATATGGTACAGTAGCACGGACAGCCAAACGCCAAAAACATTACAGCGGATTGTCAACAAAGCATCCAAAATCATAGGCAACCCACTCCCCTTGGATGGATGTGCTGGTCATATAATTAGAATATCATCAAAAAGTTGATTTATTTCAGTAATTCCACTCAAAAAGTGAAACTTGTATAATGTATACATTCATTCCACACAGACTGATATATTTCAAGTGTTCATTCCTTTTAATTTTGATTGAATTTTGATTTTTGATTATAACTGACAACCAATGAAAACCCCAAAATCAGTATCTCAGAAAATTAGAATATTGTGAAAAGGTTCAATATTGAAGACACCAGGTGCCACACTCTAATTAGCTAATTAACTCAAAACACCTGCAAAGGCCTTTAAATGGTTCTGTAGGCTACAGAAGTCTGGAGGAAGAGAGGAGAGGCACAGAATCCACGTTGCTTGAAGTCCAGTGTAAAGTTTCCACAGTCAGTGATGGTTTGGGGTGCCATGTCATGTGCTGGTGTTGGTCCACTGTGTTTTCTGAGGTCCAAGGTCAACGCAGCCGTCTACCAGGAAGTTTTCGAGCACTTCATGCTTCCTGCTGCTGACCAACTTTATGGAGATGCAGATTTCATTTTCCAACAGGAATTGGCACCTGCACACAGTGCCAAAGCTACCAGTACCTGGTTTAAGGATCACGGTATCCCTGTACTTAATTGGCCAGCAAACTCGCCTGACCTTAACCCTATAGAAAATCTACGAGGAAGAGGAAGATGCGATACGCCAGACCCAACAATGCAGAAGAGCTGAAGGCCACTATCAGAGCAACCTGGGCTCTCATAACACCTGAGCAGTGCCACAGACTGATGGACTCCATGCCACGCCGCATTGCTGCAGTAATTCAGGCAAAAGGAGCCCCAACTAAGTATTGAGTGCTGTACATGCTCATACTTTTTATGTTCACACTTTTCAGTTGGCCAACATTTCTAAAAATCCTTTTTTTGTATTGGTCTTAAGTAATATTCAAATTTTCGGAGATACTGAATTTGGGATTTTCATTAGTTGTCAGTTTTAATCATCACAATTAAATGAAATAAACATTTGAAATATATCAGTCTGTGTGTAATGAATGAATATAATATCCAAGTTTCACTTTTTGAATGGAATTACTGAAATAAATCAACTTTTTAACCATATGACTAGTGTGTGTGTGTGTGTGTGTGTGTGTGTGTGCGCGCGCCATACCTACACACAAAGCATTCTCAGTCGTTGGTTTCAAGTCTTCTTCAACACAGCATGACAGCATAACTGCAATTACGTTTTAGTTTAGTTTTTTTATATCCAGAATGTATTTTAATTATCGATTAAACATGTAAACAGTATAAAAGGGAGGGAGGGACAGCAAAAATTGTCTTCGGGCCAGTAAGTTTCAAACCAACTGGCCTGGTGGGGCCCAAAGCCAAAAAAGTTTAACGTTGAGCCCTATGCTTGTATGTTGTTCCTGAAATGTAAGTCGCTTTGGATAAAAGCGTCTGCCAAATGAGTAAATGTAATTTACTTCCCTCTGGGATTAATGAAGAACATCTCACTTTTCCTTCCAGACAATTAGCCCTCAAGGCTCTGAACGAGCGTCTAAAGCGCGTGGAGGACCAGTCTGCCTGGCCCAGCATGGATGACGAAGAAGACGATGAAGAGGACGAGGTCAGAACTGACACACAGCCGCTCCTCCCTGGTGGGCATGACACCTCCTCCTCCACGCCGAGACAAACAGGGGGACCCGTAGGCGCCTCCCTTTCCACCCCCTCCTCAACCTCAATCTCACAGATCACCGGAGCATCATCCACAGGCGGAGTACAACACCCAGAATCCAGCATTATCACCTTCGAGGATGCAACTTTTAGATCGTAACAAATAGAACACCTGTGTACAGATACACACACTCTGTTTGGTGTCCCTGGAAGGTATAGTGTACTCAGTGTCCCTGACTAGTATACGCATATATTCAGTGACAGTGATTAGGCACACACTTGATATCACACACCAACACACACAACAACTTTGAGCAGTTCATACCCAAGACTGTGCATTCAGAAACACTCTGTCGATGTCATTGTGAAGCCCAAAGGGGTGGTAACTGTACATTGCTTTCAGTTCAGGCATGTTGGTTGTAAATGCTCAATGTAGTTGGGCAAATTGGACAATTAAAACTTAACTCTTCCTTCCTGCATATGACCGAATGTCAACCAAAAATTCTGTCTTGTCTGGACTTAGGCCCAACTTGCAGAGCTCTGTCCACTGCTTCATATGTCTTTTTCTCTTGCTTTCTAAATAAATAACAAAATGGGTGTACAATTAAAAAGAATTTTTGGAAGTCTTTTTCGGGACAGCCATAGTTGTTCTCTAATCGGCTGCCATGAGAAAGCCGTCAATGAAAGACTCATGGCCAGTTCTTGATGAAAGCCGACTATGCGCACTAGTTTGATAAGCAGGGAAAAATAGCTGCAAGTGACATTGGCTTTTGGTTAACTGGTTCTAAAAATGTAACGAGGTGTGTAAATGAGGACGTATGTCATATTCACATATTCAGCAACAATTGCTGAACCAGAGGATAGAAGCTGCTGCATGTCTCTCCTGCTAATGAACTACAATACAAAATGTGTAGAAAGTGCCATTTGAAAAGAATTTTCCAGACCAGGTTAATTTGCCACCTGGTGTCTCTGGAACAACAGGCAGAGAAATGGACCATGTACCTGATTGATTATTTATTTTTTTTTTATCCCCATTTTTCATTCAGTGGAGATGAATTCTGTTTTCTTTCTTTTTTTCTTCTGTATCTGTTCATTACTAATCAACAACAAAAAAAACACTTCTGTGCGCTTACAAGACATGTCAATGGTTAATGATTATTATGATTCCTTTTGTTTTATGGTTTGTAAGTTGATTATATTTTTAAGGTTAGTTTTCAAGCCGCCTACTCAAGTATTGTCCTGTATTCTTTTACACTTTGGCCTAGTGGGATCTGAAATGATAGAAGAATCAGCAATCAACTATCCAGGTGCATCTGATAGTTGTGTATGCACAGACATATTGCCATTGCACATATTTTTAGAAGGTAGAATGATTGATTCATTAATTGTAGATTCAGATTTTTTTATCTGTGTGGCGTCAAATACTGTTTTGTTGTTTCTCAGACACTGGGTAATAGGGATTAATGATTCCATAGACATAGGACAAGGTAAGTAGTCAGCCTAGCCAGGGTTTCCCAGTCATATAACATCTTTAATTTTTGTGCCAAGCAAGGGAGAGTGGTGAATTTTTTTTTAGGTAGGATGATGGGCTAAATGTGTTCATATAAGATGCTTCAGAAATTCTATGCAGATGAAAAGATCAATGATCAATGTCATCATTGTAGCAGTCTAATATGGTAATGATAAAATCACTGAATTCCAGTTTCCCACCTGTCCTTCAGGTCAGCCAGATGAATTTAAACTTGTGAGCTTGTCAAGAAAGTGAGCCACACACTTCTGCTGCACATGTTTAACAAGGAAGATAAAGTACATAAGCTGATGTTCACTTCATCCCTCACCCCTTCAATCTGTTACAAAACAAGCCCATTAGATTAAGTTACAGATTGTTCCTGGTCGGACAGCTTTTGTGTCTTTGAAGGTAGCCGATTCTTTTATTTCACACACAATTTTGGAAACAAAATAAACGATGATTGATGGTCACTGCCATATGGTTTGGATTTTACTCATTACTTCAGCAGTTTCCTTCAGAAGCACTGCACATGAAGAAGAAATCTGGAAACTACCCAAAATTGAATTAAGTACAGAAAAATCTTGTTACATTTTAGTTCCAAATATAGTTTTCTTTTTTCATATTTAATAATCTGATATTTGTTTTAAGACTAATAATCTTGCAGTGGCCTTTACTGACCATTGTATTTGTCACAAACTGAATGGTCCACATTCACAAATTGAAAACAGACCAAAATTATCAAAGCAAATGTAACCCAGCTTGTTATGTGTGAAACCTATTCATGATATGGGAAATGGTAGAATTTGTCAAATGGAAAGAAAAGTAAAAAATTATGGAAGTCTGATTACTGATCAGCTTGGGGTTGTCTCTGGGTGGTTCTGTGGAAACCTTTTAGCCTTTAAGCTCAGTCTCAATGTCTGGACTTGAACTTGGATGACACATTTTATAGTGCAATTATGAGGAAGGCGGCCACAAGATTTGCTTTTTCACAAATACAGATAGTGCTGTTTGAATTGATGTATAACTCTGTGGAATAATCAAAAGATGTGTAGGGAACCTAAAATAATATCCAACCTTCTATAATGTCATAAAGTACGGCAAATTCAAATTACATATGTAGAGTTTAAGTTTAAACTCTGAAGTCCAAGCAATGAAAAACAGTCACTTTTCACCTGATGGAAACGTGGTATGTATAGAAAGTGATAAGCCATATTAATTGTGATGACATTCTCTGTGTTCTGTCCTGTGTTTGTCCTTGTTCCTTCTGCTCATTTCACTGCTCTTATTTTGGCAAGATGTTGTTTACACTGAGTGGGCCATTCTTTAATTAAATATGAATGAGTGAGTTATTTTTATGGACGCATTACTGACTGGGCACAGGATTGAGAGACTTGTCTTTCAGACTGGAGTTTAGTCAGAACTAGCTTCAGAGTAGAGAAGGCTGAACTGCAGTCAAAAATCTGAACTCTCAAACTGCATTCTACCATCAAAAGTATTGACAGTAGCCATCACTGTAAACCTGAATACGGTCAGAATACTCAAAATATTTGTAGAAACTGATTACCTCAAACTTTTTAAGTAGTGGTAATAATATTTTTGAGCAAACCTCAACTTCAATATAATACATTTTTAAAATACCTTTAATTTCCACATACTAAATTACATTGATTCACTGATGCTTATTACAATTAAATTCCACTAATTCTTTACTCAATAAATGTAATTGTGCACAACTTGAGGGAAATCTACTCAAAAAATTAATTGTGCTAGAATCAAATACTAATGGAAACTCACTCAACAAAACTACAACCTACTACAAAATGCCCATTTTCAGATAGTAATCCTGATAAAGACAAATACAACTCCATTATTACAATTCAAGTTCTCTTTATTAGTATCATCTCACAACATCTTCCGTCATTTCTACATTTAACAGACACAAAATAAGGCACATCTTGCACAAAGCTGAATAGACAAAGTAACTGACTGCTTGATCAGATAATGAACCAACAATGTTGATAATCAATTTGTTTTCATTCTTTCTTGCAATAATGTTAAACATTCTCTATTTCCAGATTCTTAATGAAATTTGGTGTTCGGTGTTAAAATAAATATAATTTCCTTTTACTACTTACTTGACTGTGTTTTGTCTGGAACAGGTCGCTGAACCTGCAGGAGGAGGAAGTGATATGATCAGCCGCCACAGTGATGTCACCCGTCAGTGTGTGTGTGAGTGCGTGCGTGCGAACCAAAGGTGAGGACAGACAGACAGGACAGGTAGGCAGGTGAGGACAGAGGGACTGATTAGGACAGGCAGGTGAGGACAGACAGACGGAGACCGGTGAGGGCGGACAGGACAGAAGTGAGGACGGTCTTTGGGTACCTGTTGAACAGCGGTTGTGTCTCCATCCTCAGTCTTCACAGTTCCAGCAGTAAACTGGCTCAGCTCACCCTGGAACAGATCCTGGAGCTCATGGACACCCTGAAGCTGAGCAACACCAAGAACACACACAGGCTTATTGATCGCTTCAGGAGGGATTGATAACTGATAGCTGATTGATTGTGTCTGTCTCTGCCAGTCTTCAGTCAGACCCCGATCCTTCGGCTCTGCAGCACGTTCATTCCAGCTGTGACGAGGTCCACAAGATGAGGTACGCACGCACTCACACACACTGACGGGTGACATCACTGCGGCGGCTGATGATATCACTTCCTCCTACAGGTTCAGCGACCTGTTCGCCCTGGCGGAGAAGTATGAGGACTCCCAGACCGAGCCGTAAGGCTCCGGCCTCCTCTCCTCGCTTCTGCCCAACAACGAGGAGGAGAGCGCCTCCAGCAGTAGCCCCACCTCCACCTGCTCCTCTGTGTGAGGACAACCTGAATCTGCGTCTCTTTCTTTGATTGGTCCGTTTCAAAACCACAACGGAAATTTGATATTTAATGTGTGATTTGTGAAACCATGAAGCAGCTTTGTGTCTTCACCAAGCAGGAACCTCCAGGTTTGAAAAGTGAAGCCTCTAACCTGCATTCTCTCTAACAGTCAGCAGGGGGCGACTCCACCGGCGCGGATATGGTCTCAGTCGCTGGTTTCAAGTCTTCTTCAACACAGCATGATGTTCATTTAGTAAATTATTGTCCCATTTAGAGGAAAATAGGTCAGACCAAATATGGTACCACATGAATGCTCAAGCAACGTATTTGAAGCCTACTGTCGCTGCTTAATGAATGAGCGCCGCTATTAAAATTTCACATGATCGTTATTGATTATCAGTAAGCTATGGTAACACTCAAGGCATGGCTGTCTCCCTCTCCTCTTTCTTCAAATGACTAGCAAATGTGAGAGAGAGCGCGGCAGAAAGTGACGGTGAAAGTTAGTGGAGATCAGCAGCTCTGTCTTCTACTGTACATCTTGATAGTTAAATTAAATTAAAAAGAAGACGGTGGTGACCACGGAGGAGCTGAGGTTAGTAACGTTAGAGAAAATTAGGGATTAGAGATTATTCTTTTGGATTTTGATGTACAAATGAAATGCTTGTAAAAATACAGAAGGGAGACGGTTCTCATGTTGCCTATTATTTATGTTAATTTCTACAAATGTATAAAGCAGTAAATTAAGACACAAAAGGCAAACATGAATAATCCTTTCTGTAGTGATTCTGAGGCCATGTGTTTTCCTGCCATTGTAAGGTGGTGAGGCTCAAAACTGCTTGGTGCAATGCAATGAATGTAAAATCATTGTGGAGAGCATCAAAACCAACCAAATGAATTTTCCCAGGTCTAATGGTTATAATTCAACCTCAGTAGACTTATTTAGCAAGTGTAGTTTTTGGGGTGTAGTTTATTCCAAATCTGCTCTAGATTTTCCAACTTATTATTCACAGATGTGGAAATAACAATGTTCCAAAATTATGTGGAATTGCATATTTCTTTATTGGAAAACATCATTTTCTTGGGAGGACCTCCAATCCCCCACATAAAAATACCATCTTCATTTTTTACATTATACCGCCCTATGAAAGCATGTTTTAATCCCTATGGACATTATTTCTATTATTATTTGTAAATGTACCTGCTTTGCGCCTGCCTCGACTTCGCCCTGCGCTCACACACACACACACACACACACACACACACCTTTTACCTCTGGTCTCTCACTGCAAACACACCTGCTTTCCCAGCTTCTCTTTGTCTTCCTGCCTGCTCCCCTGAGTTTATCCATCAGTAGTAGGTTATGTTTTATAAAGTCACCGAAAACACACAGAGCTTTCTTTATTTTTCACGGCAGCAGGTGCATTGCATGCCAGCTTGTTAATTATGTAGCTTATCAATGTCATTCTCCATTGTGTTTCATTGTTGACATTGTCCAATGCCAATTTTGTAGACATGCACTCTACCCTAATTTGAATACATAGATTTACTCTGCAAGTCATTTTGTGACAGCATTTCCTTTGTGCGTTTCTTTTTTTTAAGTCATGATACAGATCTTAAATTTCAATCATAATGGTCTTAAATAGTCTTAAATTTGACCAGGTGGAACCTGCAGAAACCCTGATATTACCTCCTCTACCTGACTTAACAATTTGCGTAGTGTAGGACTTCTTATTTTAAACAATCCTTATTAGCTATCTTTATTTGCTTGTGATTCCATAAAAGTCCACATTTATAGCTCCCTTTTATATTAAGTAAAAGTGCTGCTCATGGAATGAAATTATGCATAGTCGCTTTTTCCAAAAAACACAGTAAAGTAAGTAGTAAAAGGTAATTTTATTTAGCTCAAGAGACCTCAAGTTATTATCACTTAACACCAGAAAATCTCATTAAGAATCTGGAAATAGAAAATGTTCAACATTATTGCAAAAAAGAATGAAAACAAATTGATTATCAAAATTGTTGGTTAATTATCTGATCAAGCAGTCAATTACTTACTCTGTTCAGCTTTATGCAAGATGTGCCTTATTTTGTGTCTGTTAAATGTAGAAATGACGGAAGGTGTTTAAGGTTTTGATACTAATAAAGGGAAGTTGAATTGTAAAAATGGAGTTGTATTTGTATTTTTGAGGACTACTATCTGAAAATTTTTGTAAATTTCAAGTTGACTAGTAGTAACCTTGTTGAGTGAGTTTCCATTAGTATTTGAGTCTAGCACAATACATTTTTTGAGTAGATTCCCTCAGTATAAGTGGTGCAGAATTATATTAGAGTAAAGAATTAGTGGAATTTTATTTTAATAAGCATCAGTGAATCAATGTAATTTAGTATGCAGAAATTAAAGGCTTTTAAAAAATGCAGTCTGGTGGTGTGGCAGCAGAAACTTCTATATCTCTTCCCAGAAGGCAGCAGGGTGAACAGGCTGTAGCTGGGTGGGTCCTTTAGTATCCTTTGGCCTCTGCGTAGGCACCTCACCTCACCGATATCACTGATGCTCTGGAGATGGCAGTTTTAATCCCCCGCTGCCTGCAGAGCCCTCCGGTCCTGGGCCGTGCGCATCCCATGCCAATTTGTGATGTTTCCAGTCAGGATACTTTCTATTTGCTCCCCTATATCCATTCCTCCCTAGAAGAGGAGGTGTTTGTGGTCTTTGCCAGGTCTGTGCCAGGTCTTTTGTGCCAGGAGGCTTGTCTAACATGCGGTTAATATTTTGAAATGGTCACAGGTTGGTTAGGTTTAGTCACTATGGGTTAAGGAAAAGATGTGAGAATTATTAGAATGTCCCGTCTGAAAATAAGACTGTTTATAGTTTGACGTACAGTATCTCAGAAAAATGAGTACACCCCTCATATTGTTAATATTTGGATATGTCTTTTCATGTGACAACACATGAACCCACATATGGCCAGTCCGTCCTCTCTCTCTACTGCTCTCTACCTGCTTCAGCCTTCTCTTCAGACAGAGCAAGGGCCAGAGCAAGTACTCTGCTCTGTGTTAACATTTTTACATCCAGTAAAGTTAGGTAGAAACACTTGCAACCACGGATTTTATGTATCATAGCAACCGAAGCAGTCGGAAAAAACGCTGTGCCTCAAAAACGCCTGCTAGCGCTCCCTGCTGGGCGTTTTCAGAAGAGCAGCTGGCGTTTTCAGCTGGCAAAAACGCTTTGGTGGACACGGGAGTAGCATGTAGCTGCAGTACCGGAGGCTGGAGTTTCAGGACTGCAATCCTAGGACCGGAACTGCAATTCCAGGACCCTAGCTAGCTAGCCAGTATGTGTTACTCTTTGCAGCCCCCCGAAACCAATTACCCTTACCACAACCAACACTGAGTGTGTGCCTCAACCTAAGTTATTGATTATATATGCATGTCAGCTGGTTACCCCTACAGCTAGCAGACAGGGTTAACCTCCTTCGTGTTGCTGTGCATGACCTCCGCCAATCCAGTAGATGGTTCTGTCGTAAAAGTACTACGGTCCTTGAAATGTGGTTACGCTATCAGGAGCTGGAATACAGACAGTGACATTGAGAGACATTTTATTCCACACTTGATGTACTGGGACATAACGTATCGTTACTGAGTGCTCCTTTGCACCACATAGATAACACAGGAAGTGAGTTAAATATTTCGTGAAGCGTCCAAAGAGCAACACTATCGAGAGGGTCCAGCTGCAGCCCGCAGACAAACCATAGACTGTATATAAAAAAACAGACAAATGTGACAGAAGTTGAACTTCCATATATGGGTTGTCCCAGAAGCCACAGCGCACAAAACGGGATGACGTTTATCTCGACCGCTCGGTCCACGCATAGTTGTTAAATGAAAAAAAGCTGTTAAAAAAAAGGTGTCAAGTGTCAGCGTAGTAATCAGTGTACGATATGTGTTAATATTTACTATACTATACTTATATTATTAATATAGTATATTTATACTATAATTCCTGCAAATACTTATTTATAATAGCCTAATGATAATAATAAAGCAATGTTTCAATTCATACCACTGTTGTATATTTTATTTCTTCCAAAGTGATTTTAAGTTTCACAAACCAAGAATATTCTGTAATGTTACATCACGACCCAGATGTGTCTCGATTCTGGTTAAAACTTAACATTACTGAGAATTTATTGACGGAATAACAGCGGTACGAACATTATCAGCTGTTGCTGGACACGTCTGCTGTGTTGGCTGCAGTGGTCTGTGTGACTGGGCCTGGGGGAGCTAACCGCAGCTAGCTGGCTATTCCTGACAGCCCCCCGAAGTATATTCCTCTTACCCCAACCAGGGTGTGTGCCTAAAGTTATTGATTATATGCATGTCGACCGGTTAACCCTATCCGTTAACCTCCATTGTGTCGCTGTGCAGCCTCCGGTAACGTTACTGCAGCTATATAACACCCGTCGGCACTTGCGGAGCTTCTCAACTCCGAAAACGTTTAAACACATTTTCGATTCGCTGCCAATTTTCGTAAAACTGCCGATCTCCGAAATCTACACAGTTGATTTCTCGCCTAAAAACTTCTCAGAAGTGTATTTAAAGTTCTGTTGTTGGCTTCTAAAGAATAAAACGGTTTGCATTAGGATCTATCATGTACGTAAGCCGAGATGAACGTCATCACGTTCTGTGCGCAGTGTCTTCTGGGACAAACCATATTTGGAAGTTCAACTTCCGTCACGGTCTGCAGGCTGCAGCTGGTTATACTTGACACTATCTGATGCGCCCGTCCAACGCTGATTGCTACTTCAATATTTAACTGAATTAGTCTGTGGCATGTGATTTTTTTTTACCTGTAGGTAGCGCTAAAGGCCTTGAAATTGCTGATGGAGCAGCAGCATTGGTAGTAGCCACAACAGCTGAAAGCTCTAACACGCATTTACTATAGTGAATGCCCGTTCTAGTTTTCAATTCAAATGCATTTTCACCTCCATTTTTATCATTTAATATTCATTACAGACGTATTCAGTTGACTGGCCAGTAATTTACTCTGCTCCTAGTGCTCGTACACCTCGTGTCCGCGAAGGTGTGGCTCTCGGGTCCATGGCCGTCACCCCTCCCCCCAGCTACAAACCACAAACCCTGGCGGCGCGCCCCCGTGAAGTATCAGCTGAGACGGGTGGAAACGGCGGCCGACTAGACTGGTCGACAAAGCAACACTGCTCCGGGAAACACTGAAAAATCCGACTGCTATCCACTTAAACTGCAGGTAAGCGACTTTATGAAGTGGCGGGTTATTCGTATTGTTTATTTTAAATGCTGACAGGATTCTTTTAAAAGTTGCCCGGAGCTTTAAGAGGCCGTGGTATCAAAGCTAAAAGCTAGCGAGGTTAGCTAACTGTAGCTACATTAGCTTTCCCCCAACTAAGCTCAATTTCCGCAATGGCCGCGCATTTGTGCCGAGGAGACAACATCTGTATTCTGAGTGTAGGAACTCCTGTGAACGAAAGACCTTGGCCAGAGTCTAAAACTTAAACTGATGCTTATAAATCTGAGCGTAAAGACCGGCCTGGACTGGCGATCCAGCCTTTAGCCACACAATGACGCTTTTTCACGACTTGCCTCGGCTGACCAGGCGGCTTCCCAAAGTCTCAGCGTCACTTCTTAAATAGGAGCTAGTGTTAGTTAACTTAAACATACAAAATACGGCTGTGTTAAAATTAAGAAGATGTCAGTGACCATAGAGCACACCGGGATGATAGTTTTACACTTTTCTGATACAAGGTTTTGTCATGAACAATCTTCGCATGGAAGTCATTTGTCTGTGTGGGTCTCGCTTAGTGTTGAGTGTGGCTAGGCCCCCCCACCCATTCTTCCACTGCGGACAGTAGCTATTTGTTGTGAAGAAGCAATCTTCCTGGTTGAACCCATCAGTGGCTAGCCAGTTTGACAGAACACTGGAAGCTATTGATGGTGTAACAATATTCTGGGTGTGAGTTGGTCTTTTTAGACAACAACTCTATAAATTAGATCTAGAGACAGGTGATATGGTGTTGGGGACAAACAACAGAAATATACTTGATTGACAAATCAAGACAAAATTTATGATCACTCATTGTTAACACAGTGTTTCCCCTAGGATGAAGTTGTAGCAGCAGAGGTGGAGCGAAAAAGATTTGTACGCATATTGCACCCTGCTGTGTGTCTGAATATAAAACCCCAATACACAACTTCTTAGGAAACAGACTGACTGGTCTTGGTTTTGAGAAGCTGACACACCGTAACCGGCACGTACATTTGCTGGCAGATAATTTTGCTCTGTTCGTATTCACCATCACTTTCTGCCGCTCGAACAATCAAACACTCGCTACGCACCTCTCAATTCCATACAGGAGTTACGCTGCTCTTATAACAGCACCTTTCACATAGATGTTCTGTGAAGAACGAGGAGAGGAAGCTAGCCAAGCGTTTAAAGTTACCGTGCTTGCGCAGTGTGCGAGTGAAAACATTAGTAGCGAATTGTTTAATGATCGTGGGAAATTTCAGTAGGCTGTCCATAATTCAGCAGAGGCACACCTCCACTCCTGACTGAATGAATGAATATAGGGGAAACACTGTTTCATCCCTGTGATGACACAGGGAAGAAAGCAAAATTCACGTCATAATGCTCGCCAAGCGGCTAGTCCGACACGCCCTCAAAACCACCGGTGGAAAACCAGTCCAAACACCAGCTACCCTCCAGGAAGTCAGTGGAGTTGTTACTGTGATGTAGGCAGCTCAGTTAAAACTTTATGGATGAAAGATACTTTTGTTACCTGATAACTCACCACTCTGAAACTCTCAGTCTATGTTGCTAAGCTGGTAAGGGGATGTACAGCTGAAACGAAGCTGTGTTTAGCGGCTTCTGACTGACCCGCCCTTCTCTGCTTCTGATTGGCTAGTAGTCCTTAACTAGGAACTGCACATGTGCGACTCCCAACAAAGATCATGTAGAGGCAAGATGTATCACTCCATAGCTAAAATCAATGTGCAGTAAGTAAAAATATGGTGTTTTTTGAAAATTAAACCATGTAAACCTGTTCTGGTACAACCCCTAAGTAAGATTTTAAACCTAAAAATGAGCATAATACCACGTCTTATATAAGAAATTGTTTGTTAATAAACTCTATGCAACTTAAATATTTTTCACTGTGCTCTTAAATTTCTTTGTGTGCTCCTAATTGTTTTCATTTAGGAGCATGTGTGCTCCTTGAGGGGGAAAGGTTAGTGCAGAGCTGTGACCCAGCAAAATACAGTGAGCTCACTCATGTAACTTGGGCAATGGCTGCACCGAAGCAACACACAATGGAGGACACTTTGCATTTCTGATTCTACTTCATCCTCTTTAGTTCGTCATGCTTTTCCTGTGGCTCCTTGATCATAAACTCTGTCTTCCTCTGTATCTTCTGCAGGGATGGCAGCCATCCGTAAGAAGCTGGTCATAGTGGGGGATGGAGCTTGTGGAAAGACCTGCCTTTTGATTGTCTTCAGCAAGGACCAGTTCCCTGAGGTCTATGTCCCCACCGTGTTTGAGAACTACGTTGCTGACATAGAGGTGGATGGTAAACAGGTGAGACAATTGTAGGGATTCTGTCACTACTATCTGTCTTTTCCATGTACTATCATTTCAGAGTTGTGCCTCTGGGTAGATGAATTGATCCAGTTGTTAAGTGACTCTCTTACTTGGTGTACAAATGGCATTTACACTGCATGCACAATTATTAGGCAAATTGTATTTCTCAGGATTCATTTTATCGTTGAACAAACAGTGCTCTCAGTCAATCCAAAATATAATTGAACCTCAAACCTGAATGTTTAACTAAGGAAAAGCAGGTTTTGTCTTGCTCGGGAGAATATATAAGTGTGTGGAATTACTCCGCAACTATTGGTGTGCAGAATCATTAGGCAGCTCAATTATCAAAATATTTTCTATCAAATTACTTTATTCTCAATTTTCAGAGTAAGTGTAATGACACAAAATGACAATTAAATAAAACCAGGGATGTGATTTTTCCGACCTGAAAATCTGACCTACGTGAATCATGTAGATCTGTAATTTAAAAAAAGGAAGGGGGGGGTGTACAGGAGCTGGCTGAGTGAAATTGAAAGGATTTTAGGCTATCTACAGGCTGACGTGTGTAAAGTTTTCTTCCTTTCCAAGTATCAACAAGGATGTTCGTATGCGTTCAGCTGCCACTTCCACACCTACGCAGTGTGTACCATAGTCTCTTTCGTGCATCAGTGATACGTAATGTGTTGGGCAATAATGAAAATTGTCATTTTATAGTTCCTGGTCAGGACTAAGGAAACTATAAAAGAGTCATTACTTCAGTGACAGCATTAGAACTCCCAGTATAACCCATCAAATCTGTGTTGTTTCACCTTGACTTAAAAATGGTTCCACAATTATAAACAAACAAACACACATTACATGATGTTCGCTGATGTTTTTTATCAAATGTTATTTGCTGGCTTCAGCGTGTCAGTTGTGTAGGTCTGAATTGACATGGTGTATTGACTTCTCTCACTCTGTGTCTTTTCTTTGTCCTCCCTTTCTCGTTCCCCTTTTTTTTTCTCGCTCCCCCCATATTCTCAGGTGGAGTTGGCTCTCTGGGACACTGCGGGGCAGGAGGACTACGACAGGCTGAGACCCCTCTCCTACCCAGACACCGATGTCATCCTCATGTGCTTCTCCATAGACAGTCCTGACAGCTTGGGTGAGTACAAACAAAGTCCTTATAGACAACTCATGCCACTTGGCAGCCATCCTGGTAACGCCTTTGGACAGTTGTTTCTGACTAACAACGCCAGGCCCCTATCTAATTGGATGGGGAGAGAGCCAGAACTTCACTTTAACTGGTCACAGGGACAGAATCGGCAGTAAAACCCTATAAATTGCTTAAAAAGTTTGACGGCTTTGCCCCAAAATATGGTTTTAAAAAAGGTTTTTCCTAACCGGTTTTACTACGCATGTGTGGTAGTAGTGATGCATGCGTAGTAGACCCTTGCGTCAGTGAAACCACACAATTGGTTTTGCTTCCTCGGCTGTTAAAAGAAGACGATTGGCTTTCTAACAGGAGGGGCGGGAGAACCGCTGTCTTTGGCTTTCCCTATAGAGTTGTATTGAAGATTCTAAATGTGGTATGTCACTATAAAACGTCTCTGGTACAAACCGTGTGCACACACACGTATAGACACACATCTTCACACATTCAAGCATGACATAAATTACCACATCTTTGTCTTTCTTATGCACTACCCTATTTTCCTTTTTCATAAGAAGAAAGAATTTTTGTGGTCTGTAGTGTGACCAGCTGTTGTGACTATTAATACCACTTGCATTTGCACATACACCAACACATACAAATCATTAGGCATGCATGGAGAAATGCTGTAAAACAACAAGCCATGCCTTTTCTGTCATAATTATTATGAATAGAACTTCCCTGATCATGTGGAAAAGGGTTTGCATAAAATAAGGTGAAAATAAAGTAGGGCTGCAGCTAACGATGATTTTAGCACTCACAACCATCACCTGAGTGCTATAAAAGTAATGCTAAGGTTTGGCTCCCCGACACCCAGTTAACTCATGGCTATGGCGTTAAAACCCAAAGTCACGGCCCAACCAGGAGAACAACAAACGCCGTGTGGACATTTTCAGCTGAGGCCTGCTGCTTACTTTGGCTAGCCTTCAACTCAATCATGATTTCAGTTAAATGCTAAAGTTGCTGTTACCTTGTGTGTGGTCCGCTGGCAGAACACCGGGTGCTTTCTGATCAGGTGCCGCTGTGCTGTTGCGGTAGATTCGTTTTTACGGTGGACGGACGGTAACATTACAGAGTTGGTTTTTCTTTTGGCTTGAAATAATCCCATACTTTGGACACTTTCTACTTCATCCCACTATTTTCTCTCTCTTCCTCCACTTTGCAAGCAGCGCCGTCATAGTCACGTTGTGTTAACACAGCGTAAGCGCGATGTGCCACAGTAATAAATGTCCGTGTGAAACAGTGTGCTATATAGTTATATGAATTAAACGAAGCGTTGATGCAAAGAATTTGCGTTGATGCTTTTTAGTAATCAATGAATTGAAGTGACTCACATTTTAAATAAAATTACTTTTGTAAATGTTAGTCTAATCAATATACTGGCATCATTTGATTGCTCTCTAACTAATTTAAAGATAAAGGTAATTGCTCAAACTTTTATGCAAGAGTTTAATTGTCAGTTTCTTTGGTTTTTCAGTTGAAGCAAAATAAATGGCACCAGCGTGTCCTAAGAGTTTTTGGGATTATATACTTTGGTTATAGAGACTTCCTGTTTTTAGACTTCCTTTAGTTGAGACATACGCTCCACTGTGACAGGGCAAGAATGGTACTGGTTTTATAGTTCTATCACTTTTTCCTTTGTTCAGCTGTGGTGGCCTCCTGTTGCTGGAAAGTTTTATTTTAGATGTTTTAACTCTATTGTAATGGGCCATGCATTAAAGTTGAGTTTGACAACCAAAATTGTCTTAGATAATACACACAAAATCTGACAAGATCTCTGGCCAGTGAGTACTAATCTATTTCTTTGTTCTCTGGTCTCTTTCCATCACAGAAAACATTCCAGAGAAGTGGACCCCAGAGGTCAAACACTTCTGTCCCAATGTTCCTATCATCCTGGTAGGAAACAAGAAAGACCTACGCAATGATGAGCACACACGCCGAGAGCTGGCCAAGATGAAGCAGGTACCTTTTTAATTAAAAATGTTTTTGTCCTTGACTCAAATTACAATTTAGACCTGTCTTTTTAAATTACATTAAGATGTATAACAATTTATAGTATTCTGCTGATGGGGTTCTTGTGAGTGAATGGGGGCATGGTGGGGCTTCAAATAATCACACTGACACCTGAAAATGCAAAGAGTAGGTAGGCCAGTTCATAAGGCACTAAAACATGACGCCATCTAACTACAACAAACAATTAAAACTGCGAGCAGCGTCGAGCAGGCCCTCACACCTCCCAGGCCGTGACATATCAGCATAGCTGTTGGGTGAGTTTGGTCATTGCGGCAAAGGAATTAAATACAGTTGTTGATCAGTAGGTGGCGCTATTATTATGCAGTATTTCCCCTAGGATTTTTTGGATCTCTCCAAAACTAGTAGTGTCACGGAGCGGGCGTCTAATGTGGACATTTGGTGTCACCATAGATGCAGCGCACTTATTTTTACCTGTGTAGGCTCGTCACCTTCTTCGTTCCTCTTCGACATGCACTTGCTACAGTTACGCTACACTCTGATATGGGGAGATAAATCCATGGATAGGGCCCTATGAAATACGTTTTAATTTTTGCCAGATTCCGTTTGATTATTTCCCAAAATTACGTGTTCTCCGTTAAAATTTTTCTGAATTTCAGGCACATTTTATCATTCGAGTGTAATCATGTGGTGGTAAATAAAATTCTAGTACACACTATTTAAAAGGGGACAATAAATGCATTGTTGCAATAAGGCTATTGTGAATTGTTCCCGATCAATCGGGTTATTACTTGACAGTTATTCTTACGTGGCAAACGCTCCATGTTTACAAAGTTTGACCAGCCGTAATTTTTCAAACAAAATCTGACTCAACTAAAGTTCAAATTAATTGAACTGTTGAGACCCAGAGGTGAATCCCTGTGTGAAAACTGTTACATTGTGCTTCCGTTTTTTTATATATAGACTAATGATACATATTTTTTGTCGTTAATTTATGTTCTAGCCTACTATGCAAATATGCATCAAGCTAGATTCCTGCCTTCAATCTAAACTATTAGCTTCGGGAGCTATCAAGCCATTTTTGCACACTTATTCTTGAGACCCATTCCAAGCATCTAGTTTCACCACTTCTGACTTGTGTTACACAACCACTTACTTAGAAATAAAACATTGCAAACAACAAACAAATTTTTATTCCAGGCATTTCAAGGGTCCTCCCCCCATTGGGGGCCTGGGTAATCAGTCCCTTCACCATTGGATGAATCCTAAAATGCATTGCAATTTAGCATCACAAGGGTAGATGTGTTCAGGGCGTGACCCCTATCACCTAATTCTGTTTCCCCTTAACTATATGCATCATTGAAGTACAGAGAAGTTGGTAAAATAGTATAAACATCACAACTTTCACTGGCATTTAAAGTAGTAGTTGGCTTTATTAGCTAGTTTTTTGGGTTTTTTTAGACTTCTGAATGTGTTCCTACGCTAAATTGGTTTTCTCCTCATTGAATAGGAGCCAGTGAAGTCAGAGGAAGGCCGGGACATGGCAGGCCGGATTGCAGCATTTGGTTACATGGAGTGCTCTGCTAAGACCAAGGACGGTGTGAGGGAGGTGTTCGAGATGGCCACCAGGGCAGCACTGCAGGCTCGCCGTGGCAAGAAGAGCAATAAATGTGTGCTACTGTAAAATGGCCAACACAGTTGGACATAGTTTTCACCTGGAGTGTGGGAGGGAAGGAGGGATGGATCACTTGATGGGGGTAGATGGAGAAACGAGTGCAGTAAGTGACTGCAGCTGTAAAAATCCCTTTGTTGGACTGAATTTTGCCTAGGATTTGCAAAGCTTTTATGGAGAGGGACTGATGGATGGAGGAGGGAGCACAGTAAATGTTGTTAACCATTTGGCTCTTTACCCTGCAGGTTTACTATCGAGTTGGGAAATTACCACCAGCCGAACACTTGTACATTGTGTCTTTTCAACAAGCCACAGACACTGATAAAGATAATTAGGAGATCCCAGTCCTTTCTAAAATAATTAAACAAAGATCTAGTGGACTGGTAAACCTGATACATTTTCTGTGGAATAATGGGATGTTCAATTGACTGTTTTCAGTGTGGACAACAAAAAAACTTTCCTTGCTGGATGGATTGACAGCTGGATTAGGGCAAACAGAGCACAGTTAATGAGTATCACTGTAAATGGCCACCAGTGAACTATTTATTCCCATGTGTTAATACCTGGAATTAGGGTGATGAAGTATAGTTTGTGGGCATGACCGTGATTGCATAGACTGCATACACCAAACCATATCAAAACTTAGTTTTCCTTCTGTTTTTTTTCAGTTTAACTGTTATATGTTCTAGTGACCAGGGCGGGTTATTTGAGCAACCCCAAAGTTAATCACCATGCATTTGTATTTTGGAAAGGTTTGGCCTGAGAGGGTTGTTGGATCCACAATGTTGTGATGTGCTGTCAGGTTTTGGGTCTTTTGTAGATAAACTGCAGCTAGTTCAGTTTCAGTCGGCAGAAAATAAGAAAAGTAAAACTTTTTCTGTGCATCATGTGTGTTGTAATTCAAAGTGGCTCTGTATTCCAGTTGCTGCGTTGCATATTAGGTATCTTACCATAATAGTGTTGTAAAGGGCAGTGTACAGTTTACTTAACTTCCATAGTAGCAGCAATGTGAAGCCTTAAGTGTCGGGGCTGGACATTGAAACTTGGTTTGTGTACTGAGCTGTCACCTGAAGGTTCTTTGACACTAAAAACATTGTTTGCACTGAATCAGTGGAAGTAGCAGGTAAATTATGGTCCTACTTGATGACAAAGGTAGCTTCCCGCCCTGCATAACATCCTGAGCAAACAAACTGCCATGGCTCAGCTCCCATCTCTTGTTCCACAAAGCTGACTGCTGGTGCTCATCTTCCCTCTGGTTTTAGAGGAGACTATTGTTTACATGCACACCACTGATCTCTTTATTTGGGATGAACAACTTAATTTTATTTGTGTAGGCATGTATTAAAGTCAAATGTACAGTTAAACATAAAAGAACAGACACAAATGTCATAACCTTTTTAATCCAGAATACTGTTCATGGAAATGCCAGAACTGTCACGTTGGGCATCCAGATTGATTTTGGGGTAAAACACGTTGGTAATCACTATCAACTTGCAGAATTTACCAATGTTTTTAAATTTGTGGGTATTTTTTTAAAGGTCTTTCCACACTATTAATAGTGTGGCCAGTCACATTTGGGATTCATCAACCAGTGTTATACCTTCCTTTTTTATTTTTTTTATTTCCTGCTTTTAAAAAAATCATAAATCAATCTTATTATTTAAAATAGGTGGAAGACTGCTTGTGTCATTGCTTTAGTTTATTATGTTAATTTCTGATTATTTCGAATGACCCATTCAATCATCCCTTCCAAATTCTGTTGTTGCAGTCAGGAGAAAGACTGGCCTCTCTGCTGCCTGTCTAGAGCATTGCTAGGACAATGTGCTGGCTCTTTTTATGTTTGTTAGTTTTGAACACAAACTTGGCTGAAAAAACAATTAAGTCTTATGTGTAAATCATTTTTAATTCTGCTTTTTATTGTATTTTTAAATCCTATTTTTGGATACTGAAGCAGTGATGTATGCAAAGTCTGTAAATATGAAATGTGGGTTTGTTCATACTAGACCATACACGCACAAGACTAGGAACTGTATTTGTAAACTGGCTTTGGTTTGTGTAATAAATTACTTTCTATAACACCCAGCTCCTATTCATTGTGCTTTTGAGGGGGTTCAGTTAATAAACATGAAGTATGGAGCGATGAAGTAGTAGTTTTATGAACTGATGGTTTTATTTAGGTCTCCTGGCTAAACACTACAAACACAAATGACACTGACAAAAGAAATACTTCTTTTAAAGTGAAAGACACAAATCAAATTTAAAATCTACTCTCACATCTGTCCCAAATAGTGTTTACCATTAAAAATAGTTTATTCTTATTCTACAATAGTTTTAAGAAAACCGTTGAACTTGTAGCTAGTTGTTTCAAGATGTTCACACATAAGGTGGTCTTATAACGAATTTATTCACAATAGAAATTAAGTAAAAAACAATTTGATTGGTATTCATAGAAGTAACTAAGAAACACCAAACCTCAAGGCAAATGCCATGATGGGTATTTCAAAGAGGGGAAATCATATAGACACAGAAACAAGTCTCCTTAATTGTCACTTTGCAAGCATCAGATATAGGGAGAATTTAGAACTGGGCACGCCTTCCCAAAACTAGACCCTCGCCACTTCCACTCCGTCACGGAGTGAACTCTGGACAGAATCACCCTCAGTCAAACTGAGCTCTAACCCGCGTAGGGTATAGATAGAGCGGCCAATTTTCGGACGAACTAGACAACGCCAAGCACACAAGTCGTTCTACCAAAGGGTTAAGAGTACATAGCAGTGTACCTAATAGGAGTTTATTCCGCGCAGACGGGACACAAGAGTCTGGTAAGACAAGGGGAGAAGGTCTGTATGTACATAAATGACGCCTGGTGCTCAAACAAGTGGATGGACAATGTTTATTAGATGTGGAATTTTTAATTGTAAGATGTTGGCCATACTATCTGCCCACATAATTCTCCAGTGTTTTTGTTGTTGCCGTTTACATTCTTCCAGTCCTCCTTACACCCAGCTGATTAAAAGGGTCAAGCCACCAATTAAAACCGTGAGGACAGATGAGGCTACAGCAGCTCTGCAAGACTGTTTAGGGAGCACAGATTGGAGTATGTTCATAGAGGCCGCCGCCGCGGAGAGCCACATCAACCTTGAGGGATTCACATCAGTGACATCATTCATCAGCAAGTGTGTTGATGATGTGGTGATCACTTAGATGATAAAATCATTCCGCAACCAGAAGGCCTGGATGAATGGAGAGGTGAGGGCTCTATTCAGAGCCAAAAAAGCTTTTCGGTTGGGTGATAAAGAAGCCTACAGCACCGCCAGAGCGAGACTGAAAGCTGGCATCAAGGAGGAAAAGCGGAGACATCAGCAGAGACTGGAGAGAGGGCTACAAAAGCAGGAGCTTTTAGAAAGCATCCTGACTGGAAACATCACTAACTGGCATGGGTTGTGCACAGCCCAGGACTGGAGGGTCTGCAGCGGGTGATTAAAACTGCTCAGAAGATCATTGGTACCCATCTACTGAGCATCAGTGATATTGGTGAAGTGAGGTGCCTACGCAGAGCCCAAAGGATACTGAAAGACAGTACCCACCCAGCCACAGCCTGTTCACCCTGCTGCCTTCTGGGAAGAGTTTTAGAAGTTTCTTCTGCCACACCACCAGACTGCAGAGCAGCTTTCCCCCCCAAGCTATCAGACTATTAAACTCTAATTCATCCTCAGCACTGCTCCAGTGATGATAGTTTATTTCTGTTTACCATTTTTATAATTGCTTTTATATTAATGTATATTGTCTGCTAGCCGAAGGGAGTTACAAACTCAATTTCTATAACCTGTTATATCATGACAAAATAAGTCTACCTTCCCACCTACCTTAAAAGAAGAATAAAGTGAATGTTTTAGAAAGGCCAAGTAAAAACTCCTTAAAATGATCAAAATGTTGTGGAAGGTTGAGGAAGCGAGCAGCTCATGTGAGGAAAGCCACCAACATCCAAGAGTTGAAGCTGTTCTGTACAGAGAAATGGGCAAATATTCGTCCAAGTCAATGAGCAGGACTGTTCAAAACTTAAAGGCGAGCCATTGGAGGTGAGCTAATACTGCCGACACTGTGTGAACTAAGTAAGAAGCCGTCACCGGGTGCTGGGTGAATGTCTGTCGAATATCCACCTTAAGACTAACTTCACTGCGGTGTCTGTGATCCATATTTTAAAGGTTCTGGCCGATATTGTACAACAGTTGTGGTGATCTGGGGGCTCATCCTTCCCAGACCCTAGTTTGTCATTTCTTTTCCCCCCTTCCCTGTGGCCAAGACTGAACGACCATCGTTGGTATCTTCAGCTGAGGCCAATAGGTTACGTTTGTTGAGTTTCCTGGGAAGTGATGAAAGGACAGCATTGTAAGTGGGGGATAAGTGGTGGCGTAGACCCCCTCCCCTGTTCAATGACGGCTTCTCAACCCTGGTGTAGATGGCTTCCTTGACACCTCTTTCAAACCATCCATCTTCTCTGTCTAAAATGTGCACCTGGTGGTCCTCAAACGAGTGTCCTCTGTCCTTCAGATGTAAGTAGACTGCAGAGTCTTGACCTGAGGAGTTGGCCTATTGGCCTCAGGTGAAGATACCAACGATGGTCGTTCAGTCTTGGCCACAGGTAGTCTTAATGAGTGTAACGACTGTTGTCACAGCAACAAGGAACACTAACGAACCAGCAGTATCGATGACCCGGGCCAACGACCCCACTGAGGTTAAATAGCTGAGTTTCCCTGCCAGTCAGTCAGAACTGAAGAAGTCCTTTGGATGAGGGACAAAACGTCTTCCAGTATCTACAACCAAGTCCAGTTGCCCTTGATTTTAACCTTTGTTGGATAACTATGACCTGGATGACTGAGAATCTTCATAGACAAGTTAGTTGAACGTCTTCTCCGTCTGCTTCAGTCCAGCGCGTCGCACACTGATGGAGACGCTGTAAGGTAATGTCAGTAGCGAGCCATCTAGCTGCTTTAATACACCTAACTTTCCTACCTTAAGAGTTTTATAATTAGCATTTATTTTACTTTAAATGAGCTATGTGATGTTAGCTAGCTGAGAGCCCATTCTTTCATTTCATTACCACTATATCATTTCATATTTTATGTAGGCCAACACGGGTGCTTAAGCATGAGCAGTGAAGCTGAGGATTAGTTATTGTAGATACACAGTTTGACAATAAATATTCATTTTTATTATTTCATTTTATCTTTTTGTCTTTCTATGAGTCTTTCTACAATAAGCACAATATTTGTTTTCACTGTGGAATTCAGGAGTTTTACCTGGCTAGGTAAATGTTAAAATCCGGGCTTGTTATTTCAGATGTATTCAGTTTTATCGCCAATTCATAACAAAAGGCTTCTCGTTGCACTTTTTATATAAAGCAGGTCTAAACAGTACTCTGTTTAATATTATTTCCAGAGACCAAAAATTCCCAATTCCCCAACTTTGCATGACAATTGTTTTACTGAACACAGATTACATTTCATTCTCATTCAACATGAGTAGGAGGAAAGGAGATATTTGCTAAAAACAAGTTGAAACTTAAAAGTTGAAATTATAAGAATTAGGAATTAGATATGATAATGCAGACTGTATTCAATGATAGTGTCTTTGGTTCTGGTTTAACATTGTGTGGGTCTGTTTTGAGTGGTCCTGATGGTCTGCTGTTGTGTGTCTGACCTGCTGGAAGTTTTGCTGTAGAATACTGACCTGACTACAAAAGTTGGGGCACCCATGAACTGGTGTAATGAATTTGATTTATCATCATCTACAGACTGTAAACATTAGTTAAATAAGCAAGGATATTGTAAGCATTGTAAGATTTAGTTTACTGAAGCCCGCGCCTGCGCTGTACTAGGTTTTCTTTTTGACCTGGAAAAAAAGGTGACCCCTCCACTGTATAATTTGCACCCTGAGTATGCTTAAATCTTTTCATTTGAAACAAAAAACTATTAAAGTTAAAAAAGCAACAAAAACTACCTTGGCATGTGGCCTCCTTAAGAGGGAGGAGCTGCTCTCATAAAACATCGTAGGCCTACAACAGCTTAATCCTGACAGTTTTCTCCCCTGTGAATGCCAGATTGTTGTTACCACATTTTTTATAACTGTTGAACACCTATTCATGTAGGGAGGAACTGCTCAGGCAGGATAGTGCACTAAAATGTTACCAAATTTGTGCGAGCACAGAGGATGATATTAGGAAACCAATGACAATGGTGAACAGTTGAATGATGGGTTTGGTGAAAGGTCAAAGTTCAACTAAAAAGTCGAAGTAGTCACGAAGTGTGAGTGTACATTTGTACAATATCAGCCAGAATATTTTAAATATGGTCTCAGAGGCCTGACTGACGTCCTCCTGAGAAGACATTCTCAGCGTTGACAGCCTGTTTTTTAAATAATTTAATTATGTTGTGGATTTTCTTTTGAGGACCTTGTAAAATGTTCTCACCTTATGGCTCCACAGTCAATGTTCTGCAGCCACAGAGTGTACATTCAGTGCCACTGAAAGTATGTATGTGCTATATATGTTGAATAAATGTTTAAGACTCTCTTCACTTGCATTACACAATGGGAGGGTGAATGATGAAGATGATAACTAGGCTGCACAAAAGACATAAATATCAAAAACCAAATAAAATGAACAATAATAAATACATCTGTGTCAGAAACCACCTGGATTTAAAACATTTAAAACAAGCAGTCATTTAAATACTGCCATCCACTGGTAGAAAGGGGAAACAGCTTGACCCATTACGGTGGAAACCACATTAAATTTAATATTTAAAATATAGCTCTAACAATAACAACTCTGCACACATAATAAGTTCTTAGGCTAACCTATATTACCAGCTGTATTGCGCCAAACAATGCGCTCATTAAACGGTGACTGTTGATGTGTGCATGGATATGCACGATATGAAATCACTGTAATAAACTACTGTTGCTAACATATTTACCTCGATCCAGGTTTATATATTTATTGATTTTTTTTATTCTAACGTTACTCTGGTATAACGTCAGTGGTGCATAATGTTATGACCGTTCTAAAAGCTTGGCTATATTTACTATCACTTCCGGGTCACTGGCCCACCTGACTTGTTTTTAATATGTACCTTGAAACGTAGAATTGAAAATAGGATTTTCTAAAAAAACAAATAAAAATAAAAATAAAAATCGGGCCTTGGTCTCTGTGTCAGTAGAAAAGAGCTGGAGTTTTTTCGCTTGAAAAGCTTTCTTTTTTTGTTTCATTTTTGAGAGGCGGAACTGTTCTGTTGAGATTCGTGGGGAAGGTTTTTCCAATCGGACTCCTTTGCTGCTTACGTTTTCTAAATAGAAACTACACTGGTGAGTGTCTTATTCATTAAATTAAGCTCTGTGGCACCATTGCATGAACTTATAAATAGATACGTGCGCATTTTACAATCAGTTGCCCATTATCATGTTACAGTGCGAGCCATTAAAAAGCAAAAAACATTAATTAAATTAAAGGCCGGGACCTCCAACATTAGCCTTGCTGCGCTAACATCACTCAACAACATTCACCGCTGACGAGCTAGCAAGGTGGCTAATGACACCAGAACAATATCAACTTCCTCCAGGCTGAATAGCAGATATTTATGTCAAATTTATGTATTTGTTCTTGTTTGTCTGTCATGCAACGTGACGTAGTCGTGTCCACGGACTTATGTTTAACCTACACGGCGGTGGTTTAGAGTCTCATGATGAATGCAGTAAAACTAAGATAGTGTTTAACGTTAGTGGCTAATCTTGTGCTAACCTAAGCAACCTAATCATACGTAATTTCACACTTAAGGGAAAATAAATGTAATCTCAAAGTGGCACAGCTGCTATCATGATCCAATAGTTTCGACCACCATGTATTTAACAGAATATTGGTATAATGGGGATGGCGCAGTGGATAAGACACATGCCTTTGGTGTGAGACCTAGGTTCAACTCTCGGCTGTGACACATCTACCAATGTGTCCCTGAGCAAGACACTCAACCCCTAGTTCCTCCAGAGGCGTCTATACCTCTGATATATTAATTGTAAATCGTTTTGGACAAAAGCGTCAGCTAAATGAATAAATGTCTTATTTATTGTTGCTTTGAAGATTAAACATCTGTAAGCAGAGAACGTGACATAAACTGTGAGATAATAAATATTAGTCACTGTCAGATGTTGTGCTATATCTCCTGTTGTGTTGTTAGAGAATTGTTGGCAATGTTGCAAATCAGTGAGCAGGACTGCTTTCCTCCAGGATTTCACGATGTCGCTATCACAACTATCAAGACAAATTAAACAAATCCCTGTGAATCATCGCTGTTTCTGCAAAAAGTTGTCACACGGTAGCTTGTCACTTCCTTGTTTACAAGGCGCAGCATACGTGTGATACTAGTGTCTGACATTTGCTGGAGATAAAAAAAGGACTGTGAAAAACCGTATCCGGATCTTTTTTTCCAAAGTGGGTGTTGATTGTTTTGCTAAACTTGCAACATTGTGGTCGAACATAAAAGGAAATCGTCTATTGACACACACAGTTGCAGAAACGCGTGGAGGATGTCATATGAGACACATTACTGTCACACAGGCTGTTGCATCCCGGTCCTGGTCAAGTGCTAAGAGAGTCAAGGTAAGCTGGTTTAAATATGCATGGTTAGGGCTAAGGTTAGGGTTCGGTCCGCGAAATCCTGGAAGTACTGTTTAATGATTCAACTAGTAAAAAAAACCTCACATTTACCTTTGCAGTTTTCATTTATTCCTACAATTTCATTGCAAAAAAACTCCCAAAACATTGCATCTTTCATCAAAATCAGGCATTTTAGTGGCAACAATTACAACAAAGGCCTGTGAAATCCTTGAGGGAATGCTTTCTGGCAATTAACAGAACTTTTAATTCAATGTAGAGCTGCAGCTAAAGCCAGTTCACACCACAGGATTTTAAGCCTGATTTGCTGTTCGGCTACCGTCAGGCTGTGATCGGGAGTAAATCAGCGATCGATCGGCAGTCGCCATCGTTGTGTGAACTACACAAAGACGCATCAAAATGGCTCCCCGACACATTTCTTACACATCGCCAATGCCAGCCAGATATCGAGCATGCCAAACATCTGGAAGAGTCGGTTGACTTGACGTCCACATCCAGCCAGTGAGAGCAGGCAGCTACTTATTCTCTGCAAAACACTTTTTACTCACCTCCCCCTCTCTCTGTAGCTTAGACGTTCCCTGCTACTTGCGCATGCTAATCCGTTCTTTCACCCAAATTCTTTGTCTTTATAATTGCTATCTTTATAATAACAAACAGCAGCAGTTTCGTGTGTAGGTTCGTGTCATTTCCTGTTTCACATTTCACGTGTGTTTTCTTGACAAAATGTGGTTTGGAGACCAGCTGAGCAGAGCAAGCTGTTGTCAGCTCGTGTAGTGTGTGACCTCCTGTCACGATCAGTCACGTAGTGTGAACGGCCCAACAACTTCAAGACTTCCGTCACAAGAGGGCAAGTTGTGTAGTGTGAACTGCACTTTACACAGTGCCGTGGGTACGAATCGGCTCTAGCTTGAATTCTTTTTGCTACCCGAAGAGTCGCCCCCTGCTGGCCATTCGATAGAATGCAGGTTTAAGGGACTTCTGCGTTCACATCAGATCAGTGGCCGGAAGCTTCCCGCTTGGTGCTAACCTCGACATACCAGCTGTATTGTAACGTTGACATAGCTATACTAATTTGCTGTGCTCCTTACATGCTTGCTTATAACTTATTTGAAGGTGGGTCTCTGACATTGACAGCATTATGTTAAGAAAATGGATAACTTTTTAGAGTTGCTTTAGTTTTTCTATAAACACACGGCTCCCTGTCCGTTTGTGAGAGAGAGAGTGGAGACCACGTGGCGGTGCTGAGCGAATCTATGCGCTGCGGGCAGCTCTGCAATGAATTATGATTTTACTCCTATTTAATAGTATGTGGCGGTCAGCATTGATATTGAGGCGTGTCGTGTCGCCACTAATAAATCAGTCAATGGGAAACACTGCAGTGTGGTGCAAATTCTAGAAACTTTTTATGTCATCTTAGCTCTGATAGTGAATTAGTTAAAATCGCCTCAATAGTGACGCATGAAAAACTCACTGATCATCCCTTCAATCGTCAAGAGCCGATGCAGTCGCCAATCGGAACAAGCCTATTACCAATCGAGACCAATGACATCGGCGATAAATATCTGACGTACTACCGGGTAGCGTCTCTTTCTGTGTGTTTCTCTGCAGGTGTAACTTGCGAACATCGTGTCTTTCACACCTACGATATGTTTTAGTGAACTAAAGTTGCTTTCAACTTTAAACAGCTTTGTGGTGTTGAAACTTAATGACCAACAAAATGTCAGATGCCTAACTAAGATTACCAAAATGACACCCAACAAGCTTTATTTTATGGTGAATGCACTTTTCTATCAACAAAACATTAAATTGTCAGGGGTGTCACATACAGTATATACATCTTTGAATAAGAACATGAAGCAGAAACCAGGTACTGATAGTATAAATGAAGGCACGAAGTGGGTGTGTTTGAATTTGTATGTTGTTGGTCTTTCTAAATACAATCATTGTTTACATGGAAGTAAGTTTTACATGAGGTAAGTTGTTTTCTGTGTCTTCAATTTATTCTGCAACAGTGGAATAGACCTAAAGAAAATATATTTACAATCAAAACAGTCGTGTGCTAATCTTTGAGTGCCCTCTGTTGGTGTCAATTCAAAACCAGATCAATAGAGAGAGTTAAAAGCCTTGTTCTCACAGTAAGACTGAATAGTCCGGTTGTTAAGATCGAGCCCTTCAGTTCAAAGGTCGAGGGATGAAATTAGGGCTGGGCAATAAGGACCTAAAAGTCATAACCCGGTACTATTAGGCTGAATACCGAGATATACAGGTGCTGGTCATATAATTAGAATATCATCAAAAAGTTGACTTATTTCAGTAATTCCATTCAAAAAGTGAAACTTGGATATTATATTCATTCATTACACACAGACTGATATATTTCAAATGTTTATTTCATTTAATTGTGATGATTAAAACTGACAACTAATGAAAATCCCAAATTCAGTATCTCCGAAAATTAGAATATAACTTAAGACCAATACAAAAAAAGGATTTTTAGAAATGTTGGCCAACTGAAAAGTGTGAACATGAAAACTATGAGCATGTACAGCACTCAATACTTAGTTGGGGCTCCTTTTGCCTGAATTACTGCAGCAATGCGGCGTGGCATGGAGTCCATCAGTCTGTGGCACTGCTCAGGTGTTATGAGAGCCCAGGTTGCTCTGATAGTGGCCTTCAGCTCTTCTGCATTGTTGGGTCTGACGTTTCACATCTTCCTCTTCACAATACCCCGTAGATTTTCTATAGGGTTAAGGTCAGGCGAGTTTGCTGGCCAGTTAAGAACAGGGATACCATGGTCCTTAAACCAGGTACTGGTAGCTTTGGCACTGTGTGCAGGTGCCAAGTCCTGTTGGAAAATGAAATCTGCATCTCCATAAAGTTGGTCAGCAGCAGGAAGCATGAAGTGCTCTAAAACTTCCTGGTAGACGGCTGCTTTGATCTTGGACCTCAGAAAACACAGTGGACCAACACCAGCAGATGACATGGCACCCCAAACCATCACTGACTGTGGAAACTTCACACTGGACTTCAAGCAACGTGGATTCTGTGCCTCTCCTCTCTTCCTCCAGACTCTGGGACCAAGATTTCCAAAGGAAATGCAAAATTTACTTTCATCAGAGAACAGAACTTTGGACCACTCAGCAGCAGTCCAGTCCTTTTTGTCTTTAGCCCAGGCGAGACGCTTCTGACGCTGTGTCTTGTTCAAGAGTGGCTTGACACAAGGAATGCGACAGCTGAAACCCATGTCTTGCATACGTCTGTGCGTGGTGGTTCTTGAAGCACTGACTCCAGCTGCAGTCCACTCTTTGTGATCTCCCCCACATTTTTGAATGGGTTTTGTTTCACAATCCTCTCCAGGGTGCAGTTATCCCTATTGCTTGTCCACTTTTTTCTACCACATCTTTTCCTTCCCTTCGCCTCTCTGTTAATGTGCTTGAACACAGAGCTCTGTGAACAGCCAGCCTCTTTAGCACAATGACCTTTTGTGTCTTGCCCTCCTTGTGCAAGGTGTCAATGGTCGTCTTTTGGACAGCTGTCAAGTCAGCAGTCTTCCCCATGATTGTGTAGCCTACAGAACTAGACTGAGAGACCATTTAAAGTCCTTTGCAGGTTTTGAGTTAATTAGCTGATTAGAGTGTGGCACCAGGTGTCTTCAATATTGAACCTTTTCACAATATTCTAATTTTCTGAGATACTGATTTTGGGGTTTTCATTAGTTGTCAGTTATAATCATCAAAATTAAAAGGAATGAACACTTGAAACATATCAGTCTGTGTGGATCGAATGTATACATTATACAAGTTTCACTTTTTAAATGGAATTACTGAAATAAATCAACTTTTTGATGATATTCTAATTATATGACCTGTGTGTGTGTGTGTGTGTGTGTGTGTATGTATGTGTATGTGTGTGTATATATATATAAAATCGGTATTTTCTGCTAAGTGGGCTTGCGGGGGGTGGTGTTTTTACTATTTGTGGTAGCTTTTTTTCTTATTTCACGGTTTTGATTACACTTCATTCTCCACCTTATTTAAGTGTCACTCACTTATTGAATCTGCAGTCTTCAGTTGTCTTTTCCCCACATTCACAGACCTAACGTACCTCTTTTGCAAACATGTCAGCGTGCGCCGCTTCTTTCAGTCTCTCTCTCGCTGTATGATCCATTGATTCTCCTTCAGTAGGCTACGTTATATAAAGTCGCCAAAAAAACCACAACTTCTTTTGGACCTTTCCTCCCATGATTCCGTTAACAGCAGCAGTTGCGTCGCATGTTGAGGAGCCTTTCAAAAACAAGCCAGGTATTCAGCAGTTTACAGTTTGTGAGTAGATGGCTGCATGCAGACACAGAGGGAGGGGTGTGGCTGTGCAGTAAGGGAGAGAGATGAGCAAACACTGGCAGGACTTTATAGAAATATATTAATTAACTCAACAACAAACTATATCAGTGTAAACGGTATTGTCTAATTTTTTTGCCAATGTTTTATTAGCTTTCAAGGAACACAGACTGGGCCTAAATACACCAGTCACAAAGAAGGCAATGAGGGGAAAAAATAACAAAACCCCCCCAAAACAGAAAAATACAAAAAAAAAACAGCAAGGGGAGGATCCAGCTGATACTTTGCTAAATTGTGGCCAGCCTAAGGCACACCTGTGCAAAACCCATGCTGTCTGATCAGCATCTTGATATGCCACACCTGTGAGGTGGATGGATTATCTCGGCAAAGGAGAAGTGCTCACTAACACAGATTGTGAGAGGTTTGTGAACAACATTTGAGAGAAATAGGCCTTCTGTGTACATAGACGAAGTCTTAAATCTTTGCGTTCAGCTCATGATGAATGGGGGCAAAAATGCTGATGCTGAAATAACTAACTCTGCCCTAGTATCCACGGTAGTTTATTCACCAACAATCGCTAGCTAGCTATTGAGAGCTACACTTTAGCTATGAACATTGAGTTGTAAAGAACAGAATTATGTTAGCTAATCTATACAAATAGTACAAACTTGAACACAGTTGTCAAATAATCTTATTGTGATACTATACCTTGGCAGTGGTATCTTCCGCACATGAAACTGATGAGTGGCTATTTGCTACTAACTTCCAGAGACGCTATCTCAAACAAAGGGATGGAGCCGCGTAGAGCGCCTAAAGCAGGAGATCCGCGGTTTGATGGGCATTTCTGGAATCCAAATGGAGATACTTGTTAAATACATAATGAAATAAAACATTGTTTCATTGGTCAATTCGATAACAAGTGCTGACAGTAGGACATATGCACATTCCAAATAAAGAAAAAAGTAAAAATCACTTTAAACAGTGGAGATACGTAATTTTCATCGGACAGCGACAACACTGTATTTGAATTATGGATTAAATATGGATTTAAAAAGCAGAATAGCTTCCTCCTAACATTCTCTCTTTCTTCACCATCAGGTGGAGGGATGAGCCTCTCCCCTGTGATTGCCACTGAAGTGCCAGAAACTGCTAACGGGGTTATGATACCCGTCTCTTCAGAAAACGGCCCTCACGTTACGATCTCAGTGAAATGTGGGAGGAACAGAGGGCTCTGTCCTGGGGAGGCGTCAGAAGATGGAGCCCTCGGATACACAGAGAGCCATGTAGATGGGGAAAGTAGAGTTTACGATGGCGAATACCGCTTGGATACAAAGATGTACAATAATGAGAGAACATCTAATTCATCACACAGCTTTCATGCGACAGACCTCTGCCTCCCTGCTGCCACACTCACAGATGACTCAGAATTAGGTTCCAAACACACAGGCATTCCTGTGGTCTTTAACACTGTTAAGGCCCCTGGTGCAGCTCTGGTGTGGGACTCAACACAGCGGGCTCAATTCAAAGACTCTTCTCAGCGAGAATACAGACATCAGACAGAGGCAAAGAGTGTAGATGGAGGCACTGACAGCCAGCAAGAGAAGAAAGATGGAGAGAAGAAGAAACAGGATAACCAAGAACAGTGGATTCATCAGCATGCATCAGGACGAACAGAGGTGGAGGTGAGTGGACTGTAGGATAATTTTCAGCTTTATTAGATTATGTTTACCAGAAAGAAGTCAGTCAACAGATGTAATGAGCATGATTTTAACTAAAGGCAGTGCAAGTAAATGTTGTTTTTATAAAGCCTCTGATGAGACTTCAGAATGCTTCAAATTAACTACAACACGTTGGCCGACTGAGTCCGACCATCATCCAAGTGAGAAAGTCATCAAAGTTGTCTTCTTCTTCTTCTACTCCATTCTTTGTTTACCTCCTCACCCACTTTTTTAGTCTTCACGACACTACTCCTCCTCTGCCCCTGGTGCTAGCACCTCTTCCTCTTCTCCACCTCCTCTTCTTCCCTCGGATGATGCTCCTTGCCCCCCTCATGTCATGGCTCAGGTCTGGGTACGCAATGTCCGGGGGATGCAGGACAGCAAGAGCCTGGATGAAATCAGCCAAGCATGTGGAGGTAGATATGTCAGACAGGATGGATTTTGTGTTTTGTGCAGTTTGGCGAACTCTTTACTTCCCCTTTTTTAATTGATAAATACATGTAACTTCTTACAGTAAAGCAATAAATTAACAGAAAAAGTACTGGGAATTTTAATTATATTAAATAGAACTCCCATATTGACCCATAGGTCAGTAATTACTGGTAATATTTTACAACTTTATTCAGCTGATATTGGCATATTCTCCAAAGGTGGTTTAGGGGCCCGAGGAGGGGGCAGAGGTGGCCAGTCAGAGGGCCGACGGGCCACAATCTCCTCGGCTCTTGAGCTAGAGGGGACTGTCAGTCATGAAGGAGACCTGACTAACTTCATTACCAAGAACCTGGAGCAGAAAATCAAAATGAGCTCCAAGCCCGGTCTCGACTGCAGTGACTGTGAGTATGGAGCTGATGTAAAGTTCCCAAGATTTTAATTAAAGTGACGACCCACAGCTCTTCTGTGGATTTAGGCAGCCTCAGTTACTTCTCTCTCTCCATATAATTCCAGACAGACTTGCTGTTGAGATCAGGGCTCTTTGGGGGCCATGCCATCACTTCCAGGACTAATTGTTTGTCTTTACTTTGAAGATAGTTATTAATGATTTTTGCTCTATGTTTGCGGTTGTTGTCACGCTGCAGAATAAATTTGCCTCTGTCTTCCTTGAAATTTCTGCCTGGGAGAGACCTTGCTGATGCCATATAACTACCTTGTGTCTTGTTACTATGCTCTTACCATGGTGTATGACTTTGAACAGTCTAACTGTCTTCAGCAACCTCACCTGGTTAACTGAGTTTGGCTGTACCTCACCCAGTTATATTTCTCCTTCACAGCTGTTTCTGTTTCAGTAAATAATTGTGTTTCAAATTTCATACTAAATTGGTGATCAACAGCACCTGTTTGGTATAATTGTTTAATCATACACCTGATCATATGCCTACAATGTCCCTGACTTTGTGCAGGTGAACCTAGAAGATTTTATGCTCACACACAATATTGATTTGATTTAGATTTTTCCTCTCTTTACTCACTTTGCATTTTTTTATTTGATCAATATAATCTATAAAAATGTCTTCTTTTTTTTTTATATAGTATTCTTACTTAACAACAATTTTCCCTGTGGGATACAAGTCAGGTGTATCATTAAGTCATCAGTTCATGATCATTATTTGATGTGTTGGCTGAACAGATTAAAAAACAGGCAAATGTGAAATTGATACAAAGAAGGTTGATGACGACACTTTCAATTCAATTAGGAAGTCCACGATGTACTCATGAAAGCTTTGGTATAGTGAAGAAAAGTGTTGACATAACAGAAACTACAGGGGCAAAATTCACAGCTCTATCACAGTGAAAATCTAAGTTTTTTTTAGCCTCTTTGTTGGTTAGATTGAATGAAAAGTTGATGAAATGGGGTTATTACAGTGACATTGCATGTTTCTGAACTGCTTCTTCTATCTGCTTTACGTGAGGGATGTTAGTCAGACAAAAAACTTTGGTGAGAGAATGATAAGGGACTATCCTTCTGGGCACGAGAAGAGGAAAAAAAAAGTTACGTCAGGTAAACTTGTGCTCTCTCTTCCTCCTCTCCTCTCCAAGTCTGGCAGAAAGAAAATCTAATCTCTTCTCATCTCTAATCTTAAATTTGTGCTAGCTTGCAGTGAGTCTCTCTCTTGCCAGACTTTTTGCCTGACCAGTGTTAGAGTGAAATACAGCTATTTATTACATTTGATAACCACAGATGGGCAACAGTGTTTACAAACAGCAAATGACACATTGCTACAATGTAAAGAAGTGAGTGTACAGCTTGTACAACAGTGTAAATTTGCTGTCTCTTCAAAATAACACATCACACAGCTATTGTCTAAACTGCTGGCAACAAAGGTGAGTACACCCCTAAATGAAAATTATGATAACAGTAAACTATTAACTAAACATTATACTCTCTTTAATACACTCATGTACACATCCTCCTCCAAGTTGTGGATAGAGGCTCTGCAGTAGACAGATGTACACTGAGCTATTTGCTGCTTCTAGCCGCCTCCTCCGTAGAGCAACTTGCTCCCTTTGCTCTGTTTTACTTATTGTTATAACTATTGTTTGTTGTTTAATTTTGTTCAAGTTGAGAAATACACATTTCGAAATGTCAGTATTTTGTGCATTCCTTGATAATCAAGCAAGTAGACTCGTAGTAGTATTTGTTCCATTATAATCAAATTGCAAATCGCAATGTGACTTTTCTTCAAATCTTGCAGCCCTGTTTTGATTGATTTAGAGAATTGAAGAAGGCGGCAAAGGTTTTGGCAGCACTGATGCTGGTTGAGAAGGACTATAGGAGCATTTGGTTGCCCTTAAGGTCTGCAGGGTCTTTGGTTTTTCACCATTTTCTTTCTGCTGCTCTGAGATCAGTACGTCACGGATGGTATCAGTTAGCCACGAGTGGGACTGGTTCAGGCGAGCAGGTTTGGTGGATGGAGAACACAGGCCATCCAGGCATGAGCTCAGTAGAGCACAGAGATTGTGTGGCATCATTGACCTCGAGTGAGGAAAATGTGTTGAGGGGAGGGAGAGCGAAAGCTACCACTGAGGCAAAGTGAGTGGGAGACGAGGTTGTGGAGGTGTGAGACATAAGCTGCTGGAACAGCGGGTTGTTCCTGTAGGCATACTGTGAACTGGATGAACTCCCAGACGGTCGGGGGGGTGTGGGTGAAAGAGTAATTGGTGGACAGCGCAGTGGGAGTAGCAGAGTTTTCTGGTTTGATCCAGGTCTCACTGAGTGCCAGTTGCCCGAGAGATAATGTATTGGCATAAGCAGTGATGAAGTCAGCTTTGTTGACTGCAGACTGGCAATTCTATGACTCAGCAGAGAAGTAAACAGATGTGAGTGGTGTCTGTGCCTAATGGCATGATACCTGTTGTGTGCACCGGAGACAACAGGAATAGTAGCACATGGCCTGAGTGAAGTGGTAGCCGGCAGCTTTAAGTGAGTAGGTGTGCTTAGAAAAAGCTACTCTTGTAGGTGGCGTTGCTTGGTGGACTCACACAAGTTGAATCGCTGGTCTTGACCCAAGTAGGTCTTCACACAAGGAGCAGACACTGATGGGTTTCAGTGAAGTAGTATGAGTCTAATTGCACACAGTTGAGACCGCTCTCCAGATTGCCAAGAGAAAAGGTTGGTTTCACTGGGTGGGGGACACACCCAGTTGTTTGAGCTCGCTCAGCCAGCATGCAGAATCTTGTAGAGTGCACAGTAAAGTCCAAAGAGATAGCGCATAAGAAAATAGAGTAAAGTAATACGTCACTGCTGCAAAGTCACGAGTGAGCTGTGAGTGCACATTGTTCTCTGTTAGGTGCCTTTCTTGAATCAATGCAATAGATATTCACTTGCGACCGAGAAATTCTAGACAGCCAATGTGCTTAATGGGCGAGTTTAGACCTTGAATATTCCAGCTGAGAATATTTAGGTTGGCCATTTAAATGGTAGAATATTTGAGGCCCAAAAATAAAAGGGATAAAAATATAAATGGGAATGCATGTTAATAAAAACCTGCGTATTCCACTACAGTTGAGAGTTAGAAATGTACCAATCGCTGCTGGGATTTATTTTGCCCTGTTTGAATCAGTAGGGAATGGTTAATCTCTGTCTCTCTCTGTTTTCGTGTAGACACACTGGGGTGATGCCGGCGTAAGCTAAATGAGTTGACATGTTTTAAGTATTCCCACTGACGTAACCTTCATTTCATGTAGCAGATGCAACATACCGTTGTTTTTTTTTAATTCCATCTGAAATTTTTAACGTTGGCCATTTAGATGGTAGAATTTTTGAGACACAAAAATAAAAGGTATAAAAATGTTTATGGGAAAGCATGTTCATAAAACCTGCATATTCCACTACAGTTGAGCGTCTCTTGTCTGCAGCTATAAATGTACCAATCGTTGTGATGATTTATTTTACCCTGTGTGATTCAGTTGAGAATGGTTGGAGTATATCGAACCACGCTGCGTATAGATGCCTCGGCTTTAGGTGTACTCTGTTTTTATTTGTTTTTCTCTGTAAACCCAGTTTTCGGCTGTGATTCCCAGAACTCTTTCACAAGAGAAGAGCTCATGAATATCAGTGATTAAAAGGAACAGAAATAAATCAGTGGAATTACTGGACATTTTGGTTAAGGGCACGCACGCTGTTGTTCGCGCTGTGAAGCGCAGGCGGAAAGGGAAACAAGCCGGGTCGCTTGTGCATTTTCGCCAACGCGGACTCCACACACGGCCATGGCAATACTTCTTTCCAATGTGCGCTCACTGTGCAACCAACTGGATGAACTTCAGCTACTGGTGGGGAAAAACGGAGACTTTTTTCATCTAATGTTCTGTGCTTTACGGAGATCGAAACCGGACTCCGTGTTGCAGCTGGCTGGCTTCCATCTGTACAGAGCGGACCGCAACACAGATCTCTCCGGCAAAACAAAAGATCTGTTTTTACATCAACAATGGCTGGTGAAACGACGTGACTCAGCAGCACCGTTCTCATGATCTGGAACATTTACTCATTAACCGTAAACCGGTTTACTCTCACTGTGAGTTTGCCTCATTCTTGATTGGTTTTTACATTCCGACGCGCAGTACGCACAGCGCATGCTTGCCGACCGGATAGTGTGTGTGGAGCAGACAATCCCGGACTGCCTTGTTATTGTCGTTGGTGACTTGAACAGGGGAAACCTCAGCCAAGAACTCCCCAAATACAAACATTTGGTTAAATGTCCGACCAGGGAGGAAAAACGTGTCAGTCGGCTGTTGGACAACTACTTCATATTTATATAAAAAAAGGCTAAAACTTGGACATTACTTGGAGAAAAGAAAGCGATGAAGTTGAACGACCTGATGAATTCACAATATATGTGTCTGTAACTTTATTCAATCTATCGTTATACTTTTACTGTGAACAAGTTAGCATAGCATAGCCCTGATCAATCCGAACTCCATTCAGAACATTTTAGAAGTTGTTGTCATGCTGTCTTGCTGACAGACCTGACAAAGCATGAATTCATATGTTTAACAAATCTGCATCAGATTTCGTCATCAGTTTGATCTGTTTATTGCTATTAAATCACAGCAAAATGTTTACTTGGGTTTCATACAGCTGTAGTAGTGGCGAGTTGTGTTGATTCGTGTTATCGCATTGTGTGAACACTTGGCAGTTGTCCAGCGATGAAACACGTGAGGAAAGCGGATTAAATTCACATTTGGTCTGAATGCAGCATAAAAAACCAGTTACATGTCAACAGACTGTTCAGGAGGCAAAACCCCCGCAAAGCAGCTGGGCCGAACTCTGTCTCCACATCCACCTGGAGTACTGTGCTGATCAGCTGTCTCCGGTGTTCACAGACATTTTAACACTTCAATGGAGACATGCCATGTGTCATCCTGCTTCAAAGCCTCCACCATCCCTGTCCCCAAAAAACCAAGGACCACAGGACTAAATGACTACAGACCTGTGGCCCTGACCTGTGTGGTAATGAAGTCTATTGAGCACATTGTGTTGTCCCACTTTAATCCATCACAGACCTGTTCCTGCACCCCCTGCAGTTCGCCTACAGATCTCCTGTATTTTTATATAGTTATATATTTTTATATATATATATATCAAGTTTTATATAAATAAATAAATTATAATAAAAAAAAATATAGATATATATAGATATATTTTTACATTTTATTTATGTCAACTGTATGTTTGTGTATTTATAGCACATTATTAGCAAATTCCTTGTATGTCTAAAATACTACATGGCAATAAAGCTCTTTCTGATTCTGACTCTGATTCTGGTTGTCTACATGCTGTGAGGATAATTTATAGCTAAATATAGCTTGAGAGTAGAATAAAGAGACACACGTTTCAAGTTCATAACAAACTGGAGAAAGCCTAAAAAGAACTCCAGCACAGAGAAAGGAACAAAAAACACAAACATAAAAATGCAACCGTTTGGCAGTTCTGGAAACAGAATGGGGACAGACATTAAAACATTTCCAGCCGACAAGAGGTCTGCTCGCTGGTGCCCAGTGTCCACTGAGACAATTTTTTTGGGATGAAATTGCTTTTTTCAGTGTCTTTCATTTTTTAATGAGCGAGTTCATTTGTTTTGGAGAGGAGACAACCTCAGTGGTAATTCAGCTCCCAGTAGAAACCTGAAACTGAAAACACCTAAAAAGAGTACCTAAGCTGAGCTAGCAGCTCTAGCAGCTCCGCTCATTGCACTCACGTCCTATGTTTGCCTGAGCATCGGAGGAACATGATTATTATTATTTTTTTAAAGATATTTTAATTAAACATCAAGTAAAAATGCAAACATGAGCTGGTACCTGAGCTTCTCAAATTTAAGGAGTTGCTGCTTTTATCTGTTTTATATCATTATAGCTTAAATATCTTTTGGTGTGAAACTGTTATTTGAACAAATCAGGCTCTGGGAATTTGTAATGAGCATTTTTCACTAGTTTTTAAACGTTTTATAGGTTAAACTATATATAGAATCACTGAAAAAACAATTGATAGATAAGAGCCGTTAGCTGCTGCCCTGCTATTGTGTTGTCCATATAATTCCATAATTTTTTCTGATTAGCGGACTGTTCAGGTCCCATCTACCGAAGCCGCGGGTTGTCACGGAGACCAGCTGATATTCCTCCTATTGATCCCGCTGTCCTACTGGATCTTCAGAGACACACCCAAGAAGTGGCGCAAAGTGTTGAGATGATGATGCAGAGCCTCAATGGAACCATCCAGAATGTGAGTCTGTGTCTTCAAATGACCCAGTTAATGGTATATAGTGTATTTAGCTTCATCATTTTGTTTCACGCTTTCTAGTTGTTCCTCACACTCCCATTCTATATATTTCTCACCCATTTGTTTCTGTCTGTGTAACTGATTGATCCGTCTGTCTATTCATCCAGATGACAGCTCTGAGTGTGGGCTACATCCAGACCTACAGAGACTCAGTTGACAGCCTGGGAGAGTCTGTGGACATGAGTATAAAGGTGACCCTGTGTGTGTGTGTGTGTGTGTGTGTGTGTGTATGTTCCTTTTACAGAAAGTAACAAGTTCATGCTTGTTGTCTGGGGTTGTTGATAGTAATTCTGGAAAATATATGAAGTCTTAGAACAAAGAAAGTTGAGTGGGTCCACATGAATTATAAACTTTCACTACAAAATCAGTTACAATTGGTGATAGTTTTTTTTCTTTTTCTTTCAGTTTGTCCAAATATGAATTGTCATACATTCTCTTGGGCACACATAATACATTTTTATTTGTTGGATATCATGTCATAATCATTTTATGAATAGGTAATTTTACAAGAATACTGGCTACCAGAATACGAAACATATAAACCTAGACTGTTGAAAAACAGCATGAGCAAATGATGTGTGAAGCGAATGCATTCGCCAAAGCAATTTAGCATCGTTTTAAAAAGAAGGTTACTAAATCTATGATGGGCAAGCACATCATAGATTGTTATTTTTGTCATGCCCCAATTGTTTCATCCACTTCTGATTTGGGTGAGGTCTTTATCAAAGTATCAGCATTTTCATTGTCTGCCATATTTTTACTGCCATAGGGCATGTACACGCTGATGGCTCGCTGCGAGGAGTTGGATCGTTCCATGCAGCCTATACACACCCTGGCGGCACAAATCCGCGACATCAAACGCACCCTGGATGCTCTGGAGGGTATCTGCAAGTAACCCTACTTCTCCAGCACGCATACACATCCCAGCTGCAAAGATCCAACATCAAGCACATCCTGGACAAGGTTGCAAGTAAACCCACTTTTCTGCAGCTACCACACACACACTGCAGTGAAGATTAAGTGCACCTCTGGATTCTTGTAACTGTTGCTACTAGGCATGCTGGATGATTGGCGCTCATGGTCCTTTCGCCTGTCCCATCAGTTGAAGATAACTATGTTTGTCTTGTGAGATATCAATTGAATTGGGTTTGATTTCATCTCGAGTGAGCTTTCTCCTCTTTTGTTTTTTTTAAAAAGCAACCTCACTTCCTCTATTGAAGTTGCTATGAGCAAACAGATCCTTGAAGATGTGTGGTCAGTTGCTCTATTTTCCTACTTTTAAGTCTAAGGAGTAATAGTGTGTTATTTTCCGTCCAGCCCGCTTCGTTCAGATTGCACTAACCCTTTCTCCCCACATGGGGGTGATGTTTCTCCTCTGTGTGTGTCTTCATTTTTGGAGGGGCCAGGATGAACTGCTCAGAAGAAGGTGATTTTTGCACAGAAACAGAAAGTCTATTTTTTAATGTTATGCAACAAATATCCAATGTTTTTCAATGCAGGCTAAATGAGAGGAGGGGAGCTTTATGTCTGCCTGTCCATCTTTTTTTTTTTTTTTTATGTGTATTTATTCCGTTTCTGAGCATGCTTGCATTTTCAACTAAACTGTTACTCATTGTCACTGGGAAATGACCAGTACAACCACCACTGGTGGCCACTGAACAGTCACACTGGAGCATTTTGTCAAAGGTAATGAAAGTATTTTCATTTTTCTTCACTCTCAGACTGTCCATTAATTCAAAACTGTATACCTTTAAATCCCAGGTTTGCTTCTCTAATTTAAAGCTTCCTCCAGACATGTGCCATAAGATCCTAAATCTGACTTTCCTCCTCTGTATCAATGCAGTGCAGAACATAACTGGAAAAATATCTTGTAGACTACACAGTGGCTTTAAATCCTTGTAAAGCTTCAGATACTTATAATATGACTTTAAAATATCATCAAAACACCACATGCAAGGCAGATTCATTTAGCCATTTTTCATGAAATTTGAAGCTATTGAAAATGCTAAAATTTCCACGCGTGCAAGTAGCTAATAAACTGCTCAGTGTGTCATTAATTGGATTGTTGTTTCAGTTTTGATTCACGCAATTTAAAGAAATTATATATGTATTAGAAAAGTTAAATTTTAAATCCATTAATTCTTCTTGCCAGGTGAGGACTTAGCAGCTTATCTTAAACCATATATGAATTAATTTGTAGTTTTGGCTGTAAATTTAAGTTTTAGTCAGTTAAGTTAGAAGTAAGATTGTACTGAACAGTCACAGAGAAATTACACAAACAACGGTTAAATTGCTGTGAAGCATGTACTCGCTTTTTGTTTTCTTTAGCTTTGATAAGAATGAAAACTTTCAACAAAGTAGAATTATATCTGGGAAACAGCACTGGATGTAGTTGGGACAAAGCCCACAAACTGTCTCACATGTAACTGATGACAAAGTAATTTATGCGCATGGCTGTTGCTTTACCAACCTAAAGCCATTTGCTGTCATGGAGCATTACCCTGTGCCAGTTAAGTCACTGTACTGGTGAATGGGATTTTGGGATATTTTATCTACAAACCGTTATCAGAGCAATACTGCAGCAAAGTAAGTACACATTTGAATCATGGCTCTGCATTGCCTGAACTGTCTCTACCTGAGGCTCTGCACCTGTTAATGTGTTTTCACTACTATAGGAAAAGATCATGTTATTGACTTCACAAAAAGCTGTAACTGCATTCATTGTAAAATCTGCTCTTTGTTTCCTCGTCACTTTCCTTGACCTTGTCAGCAAAAATATGTGAAAATTGTCGAGAGCTTATATTAGAGAATATAATGATCCTGGTTTCCCTTGATAATACTAAAATTTACTCACATGTCAGTGGTCGTAAAGATGTAAATGATCTTTTGCAGATTAAAGTAAAAATGTAAATTTGGGGTTGAGAAAGGATTCTTGACATGGGAGATATGAGAGGAAATGTCATTTTCTTGTTCATGATATAAATAAATGTATGATTAATGAATTTTCTGTTGTACAATCTGATGCACCTGTGTAAATATGATCTTTCTGTAACCAAAAAACAGTTTAGATACCCTACATCTTGTATATTTTAATTAAAATGACAAATACATTTACATGAGATGCAAAAACAAACGTTCAGTCTTTTTTTCCCATGTACTTGCCTCAAAGAGCACTGAATGGTGTGGATGGGGAAGAAGCAGATATAAACAACACTGACTTATAAATAGGACAGTATAATGAGAAAAAATATATATTATATATATTCCTATTATGAACCAAGATAATAGTTATAGGAGATTAAATGACATGCTGGTGAGACCAATGGGCCTTTTTCACAGCAGATACAGTATTTTACAGTCGCAGTAGGAAAAGCACAGGTTTTAATATTAATAGAGGCTCTGTTCTATTGAACTGTCTCAATAAGTTGAGCCAGCATGCACAATACAATGACTTGAAACTGAAACAACGTGAAATGGAATTCGGACATCATTCATTTTATTATTTACACCTGTGCTTTTCCTGGTGCGTTATTTCAAATAGGACTATGGGCTTTTCTCATTGGATGACTTTTTAGGGCTTTTCTCATTTCAGTATTTTGTGCTTCCTTGATTCTCCGTCCTCCTGCCTGTGCACCTCAAGGAGCGAAGAGGCGTGCCGGAGGAGCCATAAGCCATAAGGATACACGTCTTTTCGGCAGCCTCAGCTTTTAAAAGCAACGTGACACACAGCTGGAATATAGTACCCATGTCAGGAGCAGGACTCTGCAGTGTTCTTTTGTATTAGTTATTTAAGATGATCAAATGCGCCATCATGCTTTCTGCCCTTCACCATTTGTGCAGCGCCTCATAAAGCATTGTTCTAACTGCATTCCTTAATCACGTTTCACCTTGATATTTCTGATGTTTTTATTGTTGAATGTGATAATGTGGATGAACAATGTTTAATAGCAGCTGGGTGAAACAGGGTGAAGCGTCTCCCCATGAAGAGAGACGCTGTGTGCATTTACACACAAGGCACACAATTTTATGTTTAAATCTCCCAACACGCCGACAGGATCAGTCGGGATCTAATGTTAATTAATGGTCTGTGTTCTTCTACACATCCAAAAGATCTCTCACACAGTCCAGGTTCATACAGTGAAACTGTTCAGTAAATCCTGAGCTCTGTCAGAGCAGCTAAACATGTATTTCAGAAGCTAAAAGTTTAATTCTAATTACTCTTTTCTGTTTTCTCTGTCTTCCCTGTCAAGGTTATTACAGTTTACCACAGTTTTCTTTTTTGTCCCACGATATTTGCTGTGACATTAGCCGCTTTCACACAGTAAACGGGGAAACAATATCTGCCAATATGCCGCATTCGCTCATTCATACTGAACCAACATTTGAGGCATAATCCTGCAACCATGTGTGCTTTCACATAGCGAGCCGGCTTTCTGGAACCAGCTGCGTAGAAAAACGCAGGCATGCCAGCTGTGGCTTTTCATGCAGATGTCATTCCGTCTCTGTTACTACAAACATCCGTGGCTCAGAGGCGGATCAGATCTAACACCCTTTCTGGCTCCATACCTTTCATACCGGCAAGCCGGCATATTGGCATATTGGGGTGGATCATGTATGTGTACATAGGGTTAGGGTTATTCAGATAATTTCAGAGCAGATCATGCATCACACCAATTCAACTGCTATGATCATCACAAAATAAGTGCAAACAGCTGCTGACATCAAATTGTTAGGCTGTCTTATCAACCAGAGCATCCTCTGCATTCAGCACTAACCTGCTGTGTTTCATGTTGTCATAGCCTATAGTAATAACCCATTACACAGTTGACAGTTGTAGTTGGGGCAATAGGCTATTTGAGATCAATTTTACATTTCTTACAGGGACTGATGATGAACCGTTCACCCTCATCAAGCTGTTGACTGTTGGTCTGCTCATCTGACAGAGATCACAGTGGCAGGCTGTAATGAAACAATGGACAGATGATCCAGCTGTGCAACATGTCATATTTAACTGACGTTGCTTTAAAATGAAGGATCCCAGGCAAGGACATCTCAGTCTGTTGCCTCAACTCCTCTCCTCGTGTCTCCTCCTCGAGTCCTCCGGTGGGAGGTTTTATGCTGCGTTCCAGACTGCTGGGAACTGGGAAATGTCCGAGTTGAAACATCCATCTTTCAACCTTAAAGCGTTTCAGATGCGTGGTGGTGCCTGACGCTGTGAAGTGAACAAAAAACATGACTGACCGTGACAAACTCTTTGTCAAGTGTACACCCAGTTGCACCCTCAGCACTGACCTTGGTGTGAATTCAAATTATGGCCGTTTTAATGAAGACAAGTGACTGAAGTGGTAATCCTCAAAAGACAGAAATACTTCCTAAAGTTTTGGCATTCTTTACATTTTACTGAATTTTTTTTTTTTGTGCAGAGAAGATGACAGAGATTCTTTAGTGTAACCAGCTACCTAGCAACATATTCCTACATCAATTTACATGCAGAACAGGTTTTACTTTTTAATCAGTCAATCAACATTTTATTTTATTTTAGGTTATTGTTTACCATTTACAATGTGTGCTTCCATGGGAGCTGCCATTGTTGTGTGACATCATTCAGCTGCTACTCGTGAAGTCGGGTTACATATATTTTCTCCAAGTTCACAAGTAGGAAATCCAACTTCAGGTGGCGTTCTATGGTATTTTTTCTAGCAACTAAAGAAATAGTCCCTTTGAAATATGCTGACATGTTTTATGTTTTTTTTGTCTTTATTTAGCTTTTTTGGTGAGCCGGCCTTTTACCCCAGCGCATCTACTTATTAATGGAAAGAGAAACTCCTGAGTACATTAAGTTTAAACTTAAAGTTTGTACCACTGTCTGTTGGCACAAATTTGGAATTTCTAGCTCTGGACAGCTGTACTTTTTTTAATGAGACGGGTTATACTCCGGTACAAAGCAGCACACCTGCAGTTAGCAGGGATTCAGTGTCTTGCTCAAGGGCACTTCTGAAGGGTCCATATTGCAGTTATAACCCAGACCTTTCAGGTGAAGGCTGGTTTGTTAGCATTTTAAGGTTCCAGGTATATACTGCCAGCCACTAGCAACAGCAGTACAGTAAGGTTTGGAGCACTGAGTGGATTCCTACCACCGTCTGTAGTTACTTCCATTAAAGGTGTTGGACTTCCAGTATCAGGTGAACTGCTTCCTCTTAACTCAGTCACAGAGGCACCTTTTGTTGCAGAAGCTGTGGTAGAAGTAGTCCCTATTACTTGTCCAACATTTTCTTCTACTGCTCCATCTTTGGGGGACTGCTGGTCTGAGACGTCACTGTCGGCAGTCTTGTACCACTGGCACTGGAAGTCCTTCTTCCAGATCTCAGCTGTGTCTGGTACAGCTGGTTTAGTGTCGGTGTCCGGCCAATCTGTGGCTTTTGCTGCCTGCGTTTGAGATGTTAGATAGAAAATAATGTTAATATTAGTAAACATTGCTGACATAGCTTTCACCAGAATTACTGGAACGTTTTATAATATCAGTCTGAAAACAAATATTAAACAGCAGGGTTCAAATTCAAAAGCATATAACAAAATGTTCATAGTAGTCTAACGTGCTATTCATACTTTATATTGTGTTGTACTTTTTTTGTTAACTGAATATTACCTAAGCTTCAACAGAGATTTCCAAAAAGTGTTGTGTTCCTGAGAAACACAATGTTCCTGTGTTCAGTGCTGTAGGATCAAACTCTGCTGGATCTTTAGCTTTTGTGTCTCAGCTACAGTTTCCTTTCCCCTTCCTTACTGTCTAAACACATATGACCTCAGGCAACTGAGCTCCCTGCTGATTTTTTCACCCTTTGTTATAAGTCTTTGTCTCTCTTATCTTTATCACTAGTAATTTAAAATGGGTTGTTTTGTTACCAACTTTCCACACAGAATGAACATAAATAAAGTACTCGGGTCTCTTTACACATGCCCTTATTTAATAATTGACAGAATTGAACTTGTTAAATTCACCTTGGGGCACCACTCTGAAGAGAAAATTGAACTGATTCTGATAAAATATACTAAGCTAACAGTTTGGAACTCTGATTAATAATTGAATTAATAACTATGATCAAAATAAATTAGTAGCTAGTAGTTTGAAAGATTTGGATTTCTACATAGAAGAGGTTGGCAATGTTTCACTCTTCTACAACATTAAAGAAACCAGCATGAATATTCACAAGCATTTATTTAAAAAATAAGCAAAGCAAAACACAGAAGATTAAATCTAACTACAATGTACTAAACTAAAGGACAAAGAAGTGTGTGTGTGTGTGTGTGTGTGTGTTTGTGTGCGCCAAGGTACTTTAGCGTGCTAGTTATTAGTTGGCAGATCCAGTATGGGTAAGCCAGGAGAGGAAGAATTGTGGTTGCATTACAGTCTTTTTCTGTGTTGTGTTCCGATTGTGCAGATGAAGGACCCAGTTGCTCCATCTGTTCTCCTCAGAGTTTGCCGCTTGGCACTAAGCAATTTTGTTGCTTCTCCTAGCATGTGAAGTTAGCTTGCAGACTTTGTGTCATTGACACTGGCTCACTAAGCTGGTTTGCAGGGGGTCGCTGCCATAAGTAAGAGAGTTTGGTTCTGCTGTGTGTCTGCTTTGAGCAGGCCACGCTGGGAGACCAGACAAATGAGAGAGTTCAGTTGATCAGTTGACGTCACAATGTGCTTTTTTTCTGCAAAGTAATCTAATTTGTGGGGGCCTAAACATGCTCAAAAACTCACAAAACTTTGCACACACGTCAGGCGGGGTGTAACATTTTGTATTTTATCGGTCATGCACATGGGCGTGGCAAAATGGCTCGATAGCGGCCCCTACAGAGCAACCCCTGGCCAAAGTTTCACCAACGTGTACAGAACTTCTGTGGCACATGTATCATGTCCAGACGTACAAAAAAGTCTCTTGGAGTGATGCCCATCACCCAACAGGAAGTCTGCCATTTTGGATTTAATGGTCATTTTTTGCAGTTAACACACTTTTACAAACTCCTCCTAGGGAATTTGTCCAATTGACTGCAAATTTTCGTTGTGCAGTCTAAACCCATTGACGATTAAAAGTTGTACAAATGGTGAGTTTTTGTCCACGAGCGTGCCCATGGCGTGGTTTCTAAAATCGATGATTCGCCATGAAACAGGAAGTTGTTATAACGTCAGTCTACATGCTCACATCTGCACCAAACTTTACAAGGTTGAAAAGAGTCCTGCCCTGAACACATCTACAAGCCAATATTCACTTATTGTCATGGCATCACCTACTGGCAACTAGGGCTGCAACTAATGATTATTTTCGTTTTCGACTGTTAATTATTTATTTGATTTGTTGATTAGTCGACTAGTCAGGATTATTTTTCTCACCCCCTCACCATAAGTAAACCATTTAACTAATTAAATATCTTTCAAGTGAATTACTGGTCTCTAACACACAGCCTAACTAGCTAACATTACCATTAAGTGAACAAGGACCCGGTCATACGCATTCTCCAGATCTACAAAGCACATGTAGACTGGATGGGCATACTCCCAAGCCCACTCCAGGATCCTTGTGAGAGTAAAGAGACTTTACCAGGAGGCAGAGAAGAGTGATAATCCTGTAATTGGCACACACTGTCTGGAGTGCAAAACTTGTAAAAACAAAAAATGTCCTGCTTTCTCCGTCGCTTTCCGCTTCTTCTTCTTCTTCTTCTTGCCCAAGCACGAAACATGTGCGCTGTGCTATTGGAACACAAGGGATTTTTTCCCCTGTAAAGTAAACTCCATTTTGGCGGCCGATTTGTATGAATTTTTTGTGGAACATGTATCAAGTCCAGACATAAAGTCGGCCATTTTGAATTTAACATCCTTTTTTTACGATTCACATTCTACGAACTTTAACCATAGACCAGAGGTCGACAAATAAGTCTGGTATCGGGCCAAATTTTTTTCAAGCTGTTACATGGTGTCCCAGAACAAGGCCAAATTATTTCAAATCCTTTGATACTTTTGTGTGCACGTTTAACTCAGTCGGTAGTGTGCGGGACTCCAGTTGGAAGGGTGTGGATATTTTTTTTCACACTTTTGGAGTGTATGTGTGCGTCCCGGCGTTTGATCCACATTCATAAACCTTTAGATGCTTATTTTCATTTCCCTGAGGAAATTCAGGAGAATCCAATGACACGTTTACTGACTGCTTTTTCAGACCTTTATCTGATCTCAGCTTCTGAAACTGAATTCCCAAAGTTTGTCTCATCTCGGGGATTAACATACTCAGAGTTTTCACTAAACCTGCTTTCTGAAACAGGGCCCTGTTCTGTCTCGTGTCTTGGCTTAGTCCAGCATTTTAGTTCTGTGTCTTAGTGAAGGTCTTTGTATTTACTCTTGGTTCTGTGTTTGCATTATTTTGGCTTTGTCTGCTGTGTTCTGTTTAATCCTAGTTTCAGTCTGTTTTCCCTGTTGATTGTAGTTTATTTGTATTGTGATCTGTTCTGGATTAGTTTGTTAGTTATATTATTCTGTTCCGTCTTATTTTGATATGGTCTGTTTTTTAACCTGTGTTCTGTCTGTTCCCCCAGTTATTCCTCTGCCTGTTACCCCTGCTTTCACTATGCCTGCCTGTGTGTCTGTGTGATTGATTAGTCCCTTATGTCTCTCACCTGTGTATCCCCTCCCAGCTCATTAACCCTGTGTATATATGTTGCCTGTGTTCCCTCAGTCTTTGTCTAGTCATTGTGGTTTGAAGCTTGTAGTTCCAAGTCTTGTCTTGTCTTGTCTTGTTGTTATGGATTCATTGGACTGAGCTGCTAGTAAGTGTGCTTGCTTTGTGTTTAAATAAATAATTGAAATGAACCAGTCAGCCTTCATGTCCTGCATTTGGGTCCACTAGCCTGCTCAACCCTACATCAATCATGACAAGGAGCTTTATTTAAGTTGTGTTTTACACATACGAGGAATTTGCTTTGGTGATAAGGTGCTACATATAGACAAACATACAGCTGATATAAATAAATGTAGAAATATATAAATATGGAATAAACAAATGCAAGTTATATAAGAATAAAAGAGTAGAGAAAAATAAAACAACTATTTGCAGAGAAAGAACTATGTGGCAGATATTTACATGTGCATTACTCCGGTTTGTGTTGTGCAGACGTATTGCAATGGAAGAGAATATTGTGTACATAAATAATTAAATTATATATATATAATTATGTAAATTATATATATATATATATATATAATTATATAATAAGGTTTGTGCATTATATGAAATGAAATAATATTTAGACGTGCAGAGACATTTGAATTATTTGAAAGGGGGTGTGTCAGTGGGGGTCCCGGGCCTTGATAATGAGGCAAGCTGCAGACGGGAAGAAGCTGTTTTTGTGGTCCTGATGGACTGCAGCCTTTTGCCAGGGTGTAGAGTCTGAAACAGTTTGTGTCCAGGGTGGGAGGGGTATGCTGCAATCTTTCCTGCTCGCCTCCTGCAGGCATACAGGTCCTGAAGTGATGGAAGATTGCAGCCAATCACCTTCTCTGCAGAGTGAATGATACGCTGCAGCCTGCCTTTGTCCCTGGCAGTGGCAGCAGCGTACCAGATGGTGATGTAGGAAGTGAGGATGGACTCAGTGATGGCGGTGTAGGAGTGCACCATCATTGTCTTTGGCAGGCTGAACTTCTTGCCGCAGGAAGTACATCCTCTGCTGGGCCTTCTTGGTGAGGGAGGTGATGTTCAGTTTCCACTTGAGGTCATGAGAGATGATGGTGCCCAGGAAGCGGAAGGAGTCCACAGTGGCAACGGGGGAGTCACACAGGATGATGGGGGAGGGTGCGGCTGTGCTCTTTCTGAAGTCCACAACCTCCACAATCTCCACTTCAGAGGGTTGAGCTCCAGACTGTTCTGGCTGCACCAGTTGACCAGATGGCCAGTCTCCCACCTGTAGTTGGACTCATCCCCCCAAAGAGATGAGCCCAATGAGGGTGGTGTCATCCGCAAACTTCAGGAGCTTGTCCTGCAACAGGGCCGGGATGATGGTGTTGAAAGCAGAGCTGAAATCCACAAACAGGATCCTGGTGTAGGTTCCTGGAGAGTCCAGGTGCTGGAGAATGACGTGAAGGGCCATGTTTACTGCATCATCTACAGACCTGTTTGCTCTGTAGGCGAACTGCAGGGGGTCAAGGAGTGGGTCTGTGATGGATTTTAGGTGGGACAACACAAGGGGCTCAAAACACTTCATTACCACACAGGTCAGGGTGACGGGTCTGTAGTCGTTTAGTCCAGTGGTCCTTGGTTTTTTGGGGACAGGGATGGTGGAGGCTTTGAAGCAGGCTGGCACATGGCATGTCTCCAGTGAACAGCACCGGAACTTCTACATTTTACTCTTTGGCACACCAGGGGCCTCATTTATAAATGTATGTGATAAAGACTCCTAGAGGTTGCGTATGTTCAAAACTGTGCATAAACAAAGTGCGTAAACACAAAAATATTCTGCTTTATAAAACAGTGCGTGCGCACGTCCTACTCCGATTTTCCTTTATAAATCACAATCAACTTGAAATGTGGCGTATGTGAGCGAGCTCAGACCCTTGAAACGCCTATAGTTGCCTATAAATGGTAAGTGAAATTCTCCTCATTAATATTAATATGTACTGACTACATGAAGACAAGGAATGCAAATTCTGACAGAAAAGCTACAAAACGAAAATTAAATTCAGGCTACACAAACAGTCTACTCACTTAATGAGGCTTCTGATGAGCATCTGGCATTCATTTCAATGTAATTTCTCCAACTGTTCACCATATTTATGAGAATAAATTGCACTGCATGCAGCTATTACTTAATATGATAGAACATATTTGAGGCATTCTTTTGCAGAAACATATCTCCATTTGTGTTTATAGTCCTATATCATGGTTCTTTTTGTGTCCGCTGCAAATTATCTTAAATTATGTTTTTCAATCGCGCACTTAAGGGAAAATCAATCAAACAGGTGTTTGTTTATGCAGAAAAGCTTTAAGCCTATAATACTAGGTCATTAATCGATTTATTTTACACTATAATATTTATTTCAAACTGTTTCATCCTTCTGCCACGTGAGTTGCCTTTTCTCATTTCTCCAGTTTATGTGCGTACTCATGCCTCAGAGTTGACGTGGAGGAACGCACATTCTCCTGTCAAGTTTGTTTTTTATAGATCACAACCTTTGCTTGGGAAGTGGTGTATGCACATTTACAGTCCTGCTGCAAATTACTCTTTCCTGCCCGCTCCACTGGCGGAGACAGAGTACGGAGAAGAGCGGGTGCTTTTTCTTTATCCAACCGTGTGCATAAAGTTGCTCATGAATGTCATCATGAACCGATCAATCACAGCCTGGATGTGGCAGGACGTTAAAAAACGTGGTGCTAACATTTTTACACTAAACAATCTGTAGCCAGACATTACCCAAATAACGTGTAACATATTTGTATTATACTAACATTGAACTTAAGTGTTATAATATTGTACTGTAATACTCCGATTTATACTGGTTAGTCCTCCAGTTGAACAGAGCCTCTGCTGAATACATTGCCACGTTGCCATCCAATTAGTTGACTCCAAACCAAAATATGGTCACCCTAGTTACCAGTACTGTACAGCTGTAAATCAGCTGACGTGCAAATCTTAAAATAGATTACATCACACTACATTGTGCAAGTAGTCAAATGCTCTGGCACAAATGAGTCAGTTATCAGTAAAGAAAACAAAAAACTGAATAGCTTCTTAGCTTCTACTTCCGGGCAGTAGTTGAAGCTCCGTGTATCTCATTAAGGGGCAGTGGTGGCCTAAAGGAAAGAAAGGTTGTTGGTTCAATCCCCGGACCGGCAGGTTAAATATGCTTGGGGAAAGTGAAAAGCAGGGCTTGCCCCTCCCTCATTACCACCTTTGTCGTGGAAATTCAATTTAAGTTTGTGTTGTGTCTTTGTCATAAGACACAACACAAGTATAATGACACAAAGCTGCTTTGATGATATGGCTAGACCAAAGTTTAAATCTTAACAAGGCTAAACAGGCCTCTGTCATTATGGCTTATAGGAGAGGGCATCAAACATGTGATAACAATACATAAACAGGGCTTTAAAATTCCAGTACAAATAAATCTAGAAATCTACTTTTATTCTCTTACCTTTTCTATCCCCTTCTCCGCCACTTCAGATGGGGGCGGTAGGTGGAGGTAGGTGGAACTTTCTGGATTTTGACGAATGCATCGGCCCTTTCCCTGGCACAGAGAGGCTGAGCAGAGTCGAGATGCCGTGGTTACATTGATGGAGTAGGGTCCCAAAACCTTACGGACAAACTCTGCCAGGTCCTGACACTCTCTCTGGAAAATAGACAGGCAAGACACTTTTATGTAAAAAGGAAGCATGAACAGTGGCACATGTTGATAGATAGAACAGACACTGTGTACATTTCCAAAACAAAGCAATCTTTGGAGATTTAATTAGTGAGGTAAAAAAAGTTAAATGGTAAAACATTGTCTGGAAAAACATGTTGAAAATGATCATTTCTATAAATATCAGTGGCTGTATAAGCATGTAGACATGTTCATGAATGTATGCATTTTATGCAGATGTATGGTGGTGTACCTCTGTCTTCATCTCACGTCTCTCCCAGATGACAACTCCAGCTGTTCCCATGGCAGCACTCTGTCCAATGGTGCTCACTAGATCTGCCTGTAAAAAAGGAATAATTCAAAGAAGACATAAATGAGTCACAGCACAGCATGCTCTTTTTCAACTTGTCTCTTTGTAATAATCATGGTATGATACAGTATAAACACCATTACACTTGTCACATAAGGCCTCCGTTTTTTCCCTAAATCTTTCACCTGATAGGTGCATACCAAAAGCACATTTCAGCATTATTCACTTCACCAAATAAAACTGTGAGAGAAGAACGAGGAATTAATTAGTGCTATGATACAACATGAATCTACTTCTGTCCTTCCTCTTCACTTGTTCTGTTTCAGCACTGATCCATTTGTAGGGTATTGGATCAAATGCAGATGTATATCTCACCTGTGACAGGAAGGTATTGGTTGAGATGTAGACACTCTTGATCAGTGGGAATACAGGAAGATCAAACGCCATCCCTGTCAAAGATGATACTCGTAGTGCTTCTCTGATTTGACTTGACAGATAAAGCCTGGCTTCAGAGGTCCCACCCTATAAAAAAGAGGACAAACGGTACACAGTTTTACCTATAAACCAAGTATAACACAGTTATACATTATTTGAACTATACCAGAACATAGATTACAGTGAAGTGTGTAAACAACAATAAACTGTGAACTGTTTTTCCTGTGTAATACTTTACATCACAAGGCTGAGGCGTTGGTGTTATGTGTTTCTTATTGTGTTACTTTTGTTGCTTCTGAGCTCAGGGAGATGAGCGCTATGTATGAACCTTTTCAGAACACCAGGGAGGATAAACATAGACTGTGTGTGCTTTCATTGATAGAAAAGACAATATTGTCTAGGCCCAGGTTGTTGTGCATCCCTTTGCTGAGCAGTTGGCCACTATCATGGTCCTCAAAATGAACTTACAGTTTTGTCTAAACACCTCCGACCACAGTGAGTGCATGTAACCGACACCCCAGTCTTTTTCTCAACCTGATGGCAAACCGGCAATACCGATAGCCTCCTAACTGCCTCCGTCTAGGTAGTCCCCAATTTTCACTCGCTCCTGAGCTGGTTCCTGTTTCCTGCTCGGAGTCCCCATTCTGAGACTCCTGGTTAGCATACAGGACAGCTGCCCCGAAGTCACAGCAAGATAACTGCTCCAGGACACTCATTCCTCTGTTGACATTTTTTGCAAACTTTGCTATGGACTTTACAGACTGTCAGCCCTCAACCAGCTAGTCTGTCAGCTAGCCCCTTACCTGCTCTGCCAGATCCACCTCCAGAAAAATCATCTAGAAGGAGACGTGGATCTTGCCATAATTATACCTCTCTACAGCCCAGCTCTCAAGTAAAAGTGAATGTCATCCAGTATAAACCTACTAGTAAAGTAAAGTAAAGTAAAAAAAAACAAAACCTGGTTTTAAAAATACAAAAGTAAAAAGTACTACACATTCAAATCTATTGACCTTTTAAAATTCACTCAAGACAGGTTTGAATACAGCATTATCAGTTATAGCGATTCACAATAAGGAAAGCTGAATTGCAAGAGGAGAAGTGGATATTTCCTGTATGTGTGGAGGTTAAGTCTGTGTAATTGCTCTGCTTGTTGTGGTAGTATCCCCTTCAGACCGTCTGACAGACACAGAACACCATTTGGGACTTTGGGTATTTTAAGATGAGACAAGGAGGCGGAAAACCAAAACTAACTGAAACACATCTCAATTCACAAAAATCCATACAGGTTAACTTCAGCACCTCTCATAAAGTGCAGCTCACACTCCCAAACAGAGCAAGTTTGGCTTCAGTTTTTAGATGTTCGTATTGCAAAACTCTACCAGCTACGTTACCACTCGGTCACAAACTGGCTACGACTCACAGAGTAAAAACAGAGCTGACACCACAATGCTCTCACTACAGTCCTCCCTCTGTAAGAAGCCTGAACCCTATTCTAGAAAAATCCAGTGCTGGTTTGAAAAGACCTCTGCGCACTAACTCAGTCCTCATGAAGTCTGATTTGACTGGGGGACAATCTGCTGGATCATTTGGTGGAGCAGCAACTGTTCCATTAGTATCTGAGCTGCTTGTATCTGATGCTGGCTGTACATCTCTGGTTGTGCTCGTACTGGCTGAGGCTGATTGTGTTTCACCTAGGTCTGTGGGACATGCTAAAAAATTCTGTACTGGGTCTGTGCTGGTACTGGCTGAGGATGGATGTGGATCAGCTGTGCTTGTACTGGCTGCCTGTACTCTACTGACAAACTTCAGCACAGCCCCTGTAAATTATAGATATTTTCTATATATCCATGTTATCAGCTGCATCAGACCCATTCAAACTGGCTCCTCCAGGTTTCCCTCAAAACATTTTCAAATAAAAATACTATTTATAAAATGACTTGGCTGAATATGTGATGCTTATTATTTACTGAGATGTGCACCCATGTTGCCCAGTCTGTCCAGCTAATCAGCATATTAATTAGTCAATGTGAATCCACTGCTTCCCATCTTGCATTAGTCCCGAGTTGTAACTAAACTTCATTGTCAAATGTAAAATGATGTATGAGGAGTGCCATCACATCCTGTCTGTCAGATGTTTCTTGCTCACTCATCTTTCTACAGTTTACAACACTATGGCCCGCCTGCATTTATCAAACGCAATAAAGAGTTGTATTTCATTCTAACAATGTTCAGTCACAGTCTGGCAAGCAACCAAGACACACTGTGGTTAAGTTAGTTTTAAGTTGGATATTTGACAGACATTCACTCAGGATCCAGTGATGGCTTCTTACTCAGTTCACCCAATATAAGTGCGCCTAGCTCACCTCCGATTTGTCGGGATTCATTTAGGGACTATCAATAAATTACTATTGTTAAAATATTGTTATGGGAAAATAATAATTTATTTCAATAGCTTCCGTGTGATGTTACCCAGTAACTCCAAACCAATGCCAAATTGTAGTAGTACACGGGGAAATGAGACACACCTCTTCATATTAGATTTGAGTGCATGTTTTTATATTAATTAATATTTTATTATTTTTTAAATAGCTTGCATTTCACGCAAGACGCAAGAACACCAACCTATGCTGCATTGTAGTACTACACTAGGAAAATGAGACATACCTCTTCATTTTAACTTTGAGTGCTTATTATAATTTATTTAATTTTATTATATTATAATTATTATCATTCTCATCCTGAAGTATTCCCTGTATAAGTAAATCTTAATACACTTTAAATAGATATGTAAGTCAAAAGACAATGTCAGCTCACAAGCTCAGAAACATTTGGTACCACCAGTGAATAACCAATGTTATTATTCATCTAATCGTTGCAAATGCATATGAGGGACGGGGAGAGGGCAGTAGCAATATTAGGCTACTTTATATTAGTAGTAAATGTATTTCTAAACAAAGCTTAAGAATGGTAAATTCTCATGGTAAATTCTTGTCAACTTTTACAGAGGAGCAATAGAAAGCATCCTGACTGGAAACCTCACCACCTGGCATGGGATATGCATGGTCCAGGACAGGAGGGCTCTGCAGCAGGTGATTAACACTGCTCAGAAGGTACTGGTACCCATCTACCAAGCATCATTGATATCGTTGAGGTGAGGCGTCTGCACAGAGCCCAAAGGACACGAAAGGACAGTACCCACCCAGCCACAGCCTGTTCACCCTGCTGCCGGCTGGGAAGAGATACAGAAGTCTCTGCTGTCATACCACCAGAACGCAGAGCATGTACTAGCATAAGCAAAAGCACACAAATATAATATGAAGTGTGTCTCATTTGTCTAATGTAGTATTACAATTCAGTATAGGATTGGAATCACTAGGTCACATGACATGGAAGCTATAAAAAACAGCATTTTCCCCCCATAGAATATTAATAAATATTTATATAAATTAGAATATGCACTCAATGTTAATGTGAAGAAGTGTGTCTCATTTGCCTAGTGTAGAACTACAATTCAGCATAAGTTTGGTGGCGCTCCTTAGCTGGTTAGCAGGACAGACAGACAAAGAGATTCACTGCTGACATCAGACTTGGAAAGGAGAGAGCACATGTTTATCTGACTGCTGTTCCCACACTTCACTCTCATTGAGTTTTTTTCTCTTCTCATGCCTAGAAGGATAGTCCCTCTTCATCCTCTCATCAAAGTTGTAAACATTCGTGTTCACCTTTTACAGGAAAGTCCAGCTCTTCACTCGACTATCACTGCATATGCTGGTGTCGCATCAGCTGGGTGAAGTTGTTTCGCGCCGAGTTGGCTTTATCAGTTTTACATTTGTTTTTCACTGCTGCTCCACTCAGGTGCGCTGCATAGGCTACCAATACTAATGTAACGAGGTTTGGTGCAGAATGTAACGGAGTAAAAAGTCAGATATTTGGTTTAGAAAAGTAAAAAGTTGCATCAACTAAAAATACTCAAGTAAAGTACAGATACTGAAAAAAACTACTAAAGTACTATAACAAAGTATTTGTACTTCATTACTTTCCACCACTGGTCACCACTGCCCGGCTCATCGTCCTCAACACTTTGCTGCGGAAGTGTCACGGCGGGGTGCCACAGACACGGAGCAGTCTGGTGTTATCCAGATGGAGAAGCCCAGCGTCAATGTGACATGCTGCCTGGCATTGCTCCATCTCTGCAATGCCAGGCAGCATGTTACATTGACGCTGGGCTGCGGAGCCAGTTGGCTTGTCAGTGTATCTGCAACTTCACTAACCAGTTGCACATCTAAGTCTTTGAGACTGAGAGAATTTGTCCACCTGTGCCACTGTGAAACAACTGTCTAGTGTTTCTAAAACTTTGTTACCCTGTTCTTCGGAGCCTGAGCTTGCCAGCATACATCAGACTTTGTCCTTCCCCTGAAACTGTGCAGACCCTTGGTCCAGAATTGCTTCAGCCTCATGTTTTCCTGGCTCAGTTGGTTGAAATTGAAGTTTCTGTGGCAGAGCAGCGTCAGGGACTAGCTGCAAACCAGTAGTGATGGGGAACCGCAGCAGCAGGCAGAACAGGCTGGTGGCTAGCCGACTGAGGACCAGTCTGCCGGATGCTTGCTAGCACACAGCTAGCTGGTCAGGAGTCAGACTGATCAATGGCAGCGGACTGGCTGCACACTAGCTGGCCGGCTGGCAGTTGGCTGGATGCTTGCAGACCGGGAATCAGGCAGCTAGCAGACCGTGGATCAGGTGGGTCGATGCTAGTAGCCAGATGGCTAGCAGGCCAGGAATTGGGCTTAGTGCTAGCGGGCCATGGATTAGGCTTGCAGATAGTAGGCTGGGGATCATGTGGCCAGATGCTAACTGGCTGGCTGTTAGCTGGTGATGAACTGATATGCAGTGGAGCTGTCATGCAGAGAAAATGGATAATCCACTCTGAAAGAGAGTCTCTCAACCATTGCTTGGAGTTACATAGTCTCTGAACCATAGCCATGACAGCCCACTTTTGGCTATCAAGGCTAGCTTTACACCACATCTTCTGGGGCTCCAACATATCCATACAAATTTCACAGAGTAGAGTTCCTCAGGCATTGTTTCTGCTGGGCCCATATGTGATCATTCTGTAAGGATTAGTCGTGAGGCAGACGTACAGGTTGTTGGGCCCAAACGCAAGACACAGCAGGATTGGTTCTCAGATATTTATTTAATTAAATGAAAATGTAACACTTACTGGGTGACTGTCCAAACAAAAGACAGTCTATACAAAACTAGGTGTCTAAATTTGCATTAATCCTAAAGGTAACAAAAACGGTTCACTGATTTAAAACAAATATCAAAACAAAAGATAAGCAGTTGTGAAAACAAAAGCGCTGACCATCAAATAAGGGTAGTTCAGGTAAGCAGACATGGACGACTTAATACTAGGACACGGCAGAGAACAGGACAGAGCACGACAAACTACAACGATCTGAAAAAGACAGAACTGAAATGACAACCATTTATATATAGGCAAACAAGCAGGGCGGGAGCAGAAACAGGTAATACAGGTCAGGGAAATCTGGCAGACTGGACAACAAACTATACATGAACAGCAGACGCAGACCAGCGTCAAAAAAAGACAGGCAACAGACAGGAACCAGAACCCAAAACACAGACCAGAATCAAACAAACAACAAAACAAGCAAAGAATAGATAAAACTATCAGGCACAGATCAAAATAATTCCAAATACAGACAGACTCAGACCAGGATCCTGACAGAAACAGGTTTGTCGGGTTAACTCTTCACAACATGTCTGGGCTCAACAAGTTTGTTCAAGTTCAAACCGCGAAGAAGTAGAACACTATTTTGTTTTTGTGTGTTTTAGTTATCATTATGGCCCAAGCATGAAACATGCGAGGACCCTATTGAAAATGAAGGAATTACTTTCTTTCTCTTTAATTTCTTTTTGGCGGCTTCATGAAACTATGCACAGAATTCAAGGGTATCAAAAATTTACTGTTTTTTTTTTTACATTTACAGTTTTTTTTCGCATGGGTATGGCAAAATAGCCCGCTAGCGCCTCCTACAGAGCAGTTTCACCGTATTGTCATTATTATTATTATTATTATTCTAAATGGCCGACTTTCTGTTGGGTACAGGAAGTCAATCTAAGGGCATCAATGATGAAAAGTTTACCTTTCCAGACACGGGTTCGATTCCCACATCTGCCTAATTAAAAATACCAAAACAACAGCTTAAAAGCTTTTTTCAAGGCAAATGCACTTTTCTATCAACAAAACATCAAAATGTGAACTTTAAAACAGTGCTCCTCCGATAGTTTATAGTGTGCTGGACTTAACCAGCACTTATCTTTCCAGATCCGGGTTTGATTCCAGCCACAAAATACCCTCAGGGACAAGGTCAGTCTACAAAACATTTCTGCCATTTTGAATTTTGTGAAAAACAAATCTTTTACATCCCCTCCCCATACATTGTAAGTCAATGTTCCTTGTATAGGTTCTCTTAATTATTATAGTAGGTTTAGATTTAATGTAAGGAAGGGCATGATTATAAAACGTTATTATAAAATATCCTAACCCACCTGCAGTTTCTCCAGGGTGAGGAGAGGATAGAGTGCGGAGCATCGTTTCCATAGCCAAAGAAGCTCATCATTTAGGGCCATCTCTGCAGAAGGACACTGGTTGGTGTAATTGGCTAACATGGTTTGGGCAGGATCGCCGCTGTAGCAGCTGGGGTAAGGGGAGAGGCCCCACAATGCTTTAGGCCTTAATCTTTTCACTTCCCGTAGAGTCTCCATCATTACTGACTGGGCTGCTGCCTCGAAGTCCACCTGTGAAAAGATCAAAACTTCACCTCAGAAGGTCTCCTTCAGACATTTTCAATTCTGATTTAAAAACTAGCAATTATTCAAAACTGTTTGTGAACAGTCCATATGAAATGGCCAAATCATCAGACTTAAGCAAAGATTTAGGGGATACACCAGTATTTACTGTGAGATAATAGAAACATGATGATAGAAAATATTTTCTGCACAGTTTCTACTGAGGTAGCGGTCATTTTAATAGTTCTGGTTATATTAGACCATTGTGGACAAGGTTGCAAATTAGTGACCAGGACTGCTTTATGGCAGTATTGGATTTATGCCTCAATATGATTAACTACCTTGATGTGTCAGATATTTCAAGGAATAATTTGACACTAATTCGCTTTCTTGTCAAGAGTCAGATCAGAAGATGGTACCACTCTGATGCCTGTACATTAAATATGAAGTGACAGTTATCTTAGATTAGCATCTTTAAAGCTTACTTATTAACACACTGTGTGTTTAATCTACACAAAAACGCGGTGATAAAGTGGCATGCTGTGGTTAGTGCTTTTTCTTGACTAGGCACTATGGCTTCCTGGAGTCTCTGCTAATTGCCTGGCAGGAAATAATCAGTTTTTACACATTATTTTTTGTACATACATGAAAGTGGTTTTGAAGTGTTGAAGTGTTTTGTTTTCTTTCATCAGCATCTTGCACGCTCCACCATCTGCCAACAACTTTGCTTTCTCTCCATCTCCCACCATGCTCCATCAACCTCTCCCATGTCCCTCTTTTCTTTTCATGTTCACTTATCTTCCTACTTTTTACTTCTTGTAAACTTGCTTTCTCTTTTACCACCTACCCCTTTTACTACCTCTTTGCCTTAACTTTCGTACCTGTGACCACTTCTCCACCTCCTCTGGGGTCCAGTTAGGGAAGAAGGCCTTCAGCAGCTTCCTTGATGCCTCCAGATACATTACCTGCTTCTCTCGGTTCCTTAACCACTGGGGGAACCACTCTGCCCAGTGTAGCACCCCAAGCCCCAGGTATCTTGGGGCAGGTAAAGCTGCTTCCAAGTCCTGCTGTGTCTTTTGGAGGTGTTTTTCCAGCTGTGTGTTCTGTGGTAGCCCCCCATTGATCGGTGTGTCTTTGTTTATGAAATAAGGGTAGTTCCCCAGTGTCTCCTCGTAAAAAACAGCCACTCGGCCCTCCTGTTCCATTCCGAAAGATCTGGGATCTGGCCTACCAGAGCAGGAAGCATCAGAGATACCCCAGAAGATGATAAAAGGCTGTCCAGATAGGAGAGGGGGGCGAGCTGGCTGGGGTGGGCCAGCAATAGTGAGATCAGCAAAGGCAGCAAGCAGGAGAAAGAAGGGCAGTAAAACTGAAGGCCCAGCTTGAAAGATGGCTGATGAAAAAGTTGTGGGAGTCCTAAGCATATAAGGACTCAGTTTTGGTTTTGGCTTTGGTTCTGGATGCGACCGTGGTTCGGTCCACGCCATTGAAGCGGCCACTTCTCTGGCTTTCACCCTTTCAGGCCCCCAAAGCCAATCATGTTCCTGTAAAACACATAGAAATCACACCTTATACAGTCTGTACTGTGATATAGTCACTAAACAAAGCCTTGATCAAATGATGAGAAGGAAGCAATAAACAAGTCAGCAGTGAGCAAGTATCATTTGTTGCTGGTGTCATTTAACAGAACTAACATTAAGTGATCATTACATACAAATTACAAAAATTACATTATCTCACTTTGCACTAATTAGAGCCACTCTCTAAAACATGAATAATCCCTGTGTAAACTGTTCAGAGTAAGATTTGTGGATTATCCAGAATAACCAGCATATGTTAATTAAAAAAAACCCTCAGGGTTTGATCTGCTTGATCTCTCTTGATTTCTTTACTGTATTCTTGCACACATCTCTTGATATTTACTTCTATTCTACTCTTTCTATCAGTGTCTTATTTTTAAACCTTCCTTAAACCACCATGCTTCAACCGTTTCAGAATAGGTGCCCTGGAACAAAAAGGTTTTGAAATGATTACCAGGGCCAAAGCAGCGACCACTGTGAGGTCCCTATTCTGTGTAAGAATTATTATTAGGGCCCGAGCATGAAACATGCCAGGACCCAATTGAAACTGAAGGAATAAATTTTAGGACCCAAGAATGATCGACTTCAAATTTTGGTTATACATTCCAAAGTCAGTGATGATGAAAAGTTGTGGTATTTTTTGTACACGTGTCCCGTGTACAAAGGCTTAGTCGCTGCCTGCATCAGCAAGGTCTCTCCCTTGCAGAAATTTCAAGGCAGACAGAGTTTACAGATGTGATATCATAGCTCTTTTGAAGAAGCACAAAGAATGGGCAACAGTGTGGACCGGAGATGCAGTGCCAAAGAAACTTGCTGCAGCAGATACACTTTGCTTACTTCCCTTCACAATCGGAAGATACTAACCACAGAAGTCTGGTCAGAAGTGACTGTCATGGAAGACTTTCAGCCAAAAAGCCATGCCTGACATGGAAACAAGGCCCAGCAACTCAATTATGCACGCAAACACAGGAACTGGAGGGCAGAAAAATGGCAGCAGATGCTCATTTCTGATGAATCAACATATTACTTGTTTACCAAAGGGCTGGACAGCAGTACAAGAATGAGAGTCTGCAGGCAACAGTGAAGCATGGTGGAGGTTCCTTGCAAGTTCTGAGCTGCGTTTCTGCAAATGGGATTGGTTTAGAATTAATGGTTTCCTCAATGCTGAGAAATGCAGTAAGAGAGGCATCTAATTGACCTCAGATTTATTCTGCAGTATGACAACAACCCCAAACATACAGTGAAAGTCATTAAGAACTATCTTCAGTTTAAAGAACAAGGAGTCCTGGAAGCGATCTTATGTCCCCTGTAGAGCTCTGATCTCAACATCATTGAGTCTGTCTGGGATTACATGAAGAGAGAGAAGCAAATGAGGCTGGCTAAATCTGTGGGCAGTTGTCCAAGATGTTTTGGCCAAGCTACCTGCCATTTGAAGTTCCTTCAAAAACTATGTGCAAGTGTACCTAGAAGAATTTATGCTGTTTTGAAGGCAAAGGGCGGTCACACTAAATATTGATTTGAATTAGATTTTTCTTCACTTTGCATTTTGTTAATTGATGATTGATTGATGAATATAATCTATTAGCATGGCTATTTCTGAAAGCATTCTTACTTCACAGTATTCTGTCCTTAGTGTGTGTGACTTTACAGAAATCGACAGATAGCTAACAGGCTTCAAGAAAAAGTCAGAGGCTGGAGTAAAGTTCAAGGCTCTTTACTGTTGTTGTAATTCTCATGAAGGAATTTTGTATAACTAAAATGATACAGAAAGATAGCTCCAATCAGTGAATGCTATTCAAACACATTATACATCAACAGACATAAAATAATCTACAGCTAAGCTACAAAGTTGTAACATACACATATATACATTCTGCTGGTACGTTCATAGCTGTAAATACCTGTAACTATAGTTTGTGCAGCTCAACAGCTAAAACCAACGGCAACTATGGGCGACCTCTTTGCAGAAAGGCTATACAATAGCTAGTTTAACTTTGGCAGGTTTCACATGTAAACAAATAAATATTCAAGCAAGATCACAGAATGTCTTACATGACACTTGTGTATCATTGTAATTAACTATAAATTGAAATAACTTGTAATAACAGAGTGGGGAAGGGATAAGGTAACTGGAGCTGCTAGATGACCGCATGACATTTAACTACTAATGTATTTCCTGATCAGACTGCATGATGTGTAGGGATGGGGCTTGATACCCGGTTCTAAGAGGAGCCGGTTCCAAAATTTCTTAAAACCCAAAAATCAATAAGGTCTGAGCTTATCGAGACTAGCAGGTCCTATAATGTAACGTTATGTCTTGAGCGAAACGCGATGGATAGGAAAACTAATGTTTCTAATGATGGCACCCAAATGCGGTATCAAACGGGCCCAGGACTGTTTATCATCAGGCTGCAGCCTCTGCTGCTCTCTGTCGGCTCCTACATACACATACAGCGGCCATCAGAGAGGGACGCCGCTTCGTCGCGGTGGAGATGGTGAAGTGTAGTTAGCTCCAAACTACCCGAGTTGACGACAGCTACGCTACAGGTGAATTGATAAAGCTATACTTTATCAATACACCTGTGTGTGAGGTAAACGTGTCGAAAGGATTCATTTAATCATCTCTGTCCTCAGTCTGTCATCCTGTATGTTATATACAAGCACAACGTTAACTTGGCAATTTGACAAATGTTAAAAACAAGCTAAATAGAAAGCTGTCTGTCTATAGCATAGCCTGGTCTGTAGTCTTAAAATTTAGCACATTGTTAAAAACTCATTTGCTGGCTGAGACAAACCAGCCGCTCTTCCTTCAACCAGGTAAGCAGGCAGTGAAGACCAAGTCAAGACCAAGACCGAGGGAGGGCGAGACCGAGTCAAGACCAAAACCAGTTCCCCACATTATATGACACACAATAAAATGTGGAACGAGATCATAGGTACTTCTCAAATTGATCTGAAAGATTCACATTCCCATTACCCACATACAAACACTAAGAGCTGAAATCAAAGTAAGCATCTTAATTCAACACTCCTTTTCCATGCTTACCATCGCGGGGAGGGGGGACAGTGGTTAACGCTAACAACACATTTTTAATTAGGGTTATTGGTTGCATTTGAAACAATACATTTTACATCCAATCAAAGTTAAGATGTTAACAAATAAATCAGACAATGCAAAAGCAATTTATTGATATTCCCAAAGTTATAGTCTTGACTGGTCTTGAAATAAAATCCAGAGTCCTCAATGTCTGAGACAGAGACAAGACCATCAAAAAGTGGTCTAAAGACCGGTCTCGAGTACTACACTAATGAAAACAATGTAAGAATTATATATGAACATAATGAATTACTACCAGATGATCACTAGGGGGAGAACGCAACAAACTAAATGCAAAGTTCTTACAGAACATGACACAGTATATTTCCACACCTGTTTAAAACTCTTGCACAGTACTGTGTACCGTGCACCTATTCATTTACACCTGTGATGAATCAGATAAGGTTCATAGATTTCATGTCGAAATGTTGAACAGTTTATCCACTGACACTACTGAGGTAAGAGTGAGGTGGACAGGCAGTTTGAAATTATACAGGTACAGTGCATTTTAATACTTAAAAAGCATGCAAAAAATATTTATGTAAATAATTAACCACCATTCTGTTTTTTACTCAATATCAGTAACTATTCTATGATAACCTTTACCTTTAATAGAAACAATAACATTTTATGCAATTTGTTAATGACAGCTTTTAAGTCATTTTTAAAAGACATAATGTCTTCTTTAAGGGCTACAGATTTGATTTAAATTATTTTATGATTTTTAGTTGCATAGCTCATTCAAAACAGTAAACCTGACTGTTAAAACTATAACAACACAGAAAGTTAGTTATTGAAGTAAATCAGGGCTACCTAAGTCTTTTTGCCTTTGCATTTGAGGAGAACTGTTTAAAATTGACAAAGAAAGCCTATTTAGATTTTTAGCCGTGTAGATTTTGGGATTATGGGTACAAATTAGCTGGTAAACTAACCCTGGCACATGTACATTAATTTTGTTAAATGCATTTATTATTGTCCACTGTCCCCTGAATACACAAATAAACAAACAATAATGATTGTACCAAAATATTAGCGGTCATTCCAACACAATGGAGGTAAAAGGAATCTTGTTTGGGATCTCACAATCAACAGTTATCATTTTGTACTGAACATAAAAAAACAGAGAAAACCCTCTACTTAGCCTTTTACTTAATTTTTGTTCAGAAGAAATAACTCATCCTCAAGTCAACCAATTATATTATTTAGGATTTTCATTTGGTTGTTGCTATAGTATTCCTATTCAGGATTTTAGAAAGCCTTTGTTTTTATTTTGGCCACTGATTTAAAACAAATAAAACATACATTTACTTTGCCAGCCCTGATTAGCCTTGATTTTCAGGGTTTCAAACAGAATCTGTGAATAATGACATGAAACAAAATGCTTTTCAGTTCCATGACCAGATTAATAATACTGAACAACAATACAATTGCATTTATTTGAAGAGATGTTGTGTTTTCATTTTTAGTCCAATATTTAATTCAATTGTGAATCTGTTTATTTGTTTTAATTTCTACCTTAATATACAATATTTGTCATTTCTAGATTGTTGATTTTACTTTACTTTTACTTTTTATATTTTATCATGGTGCAAAATGAATTAAACTGGCCAAAAAGAAGTGGATAAACGCTATCCTGACTACAACAATATCATATCAAGGCAAAGCAAACTTACCAAGGCTGGATTTGTTCCTGTATTTACTCCTCACAGTCTGGACATCGTCTCAGTGACTGCTCCTGATATTACAAGATTTTATTCCTCTGTCTTCAGTTTTATTCATTACTCATCCAGCTAGAGAAATGAAGGAAGCCTGCT